TTACACTCACTAGGTCTATATGCATTACTAGACATCATGGAGCCTTCTCGATATCCACCTCTCTGAGGCCTACTCGTCATCAATGATTGCATTTTGCTCTCAGACTGCTCTATTCTAGGGGTGAGATCTAACAAACTGGAAAACTTGCTCATAGATTGATTGACACTAGTATTTACCAGTTTCAGGATATCATCAAACTTTGGCTCGATACCCTCATCCTCCATACGGGAGCTTATCTTCACCCACTTCCTTTGCAGTCGAGTAGGTAGACGTCTTGCTATTACTTCTAGTATAAAACTCGAGTTGAGGTCACTCACGCGATTCATCGAAATCATTCCATTCTTGTAAATTAGCAAATTATCTAAAAACTCAGTGAGTGCCTGGGAGTCATCCTGTAATTGACCACCATTACCCTTAACAGCCTCGAATAATTTCCCTGCAATCATCGAAGGTCTTCCAAACCTTTGACGTAATATGCTCATAGCCTCATCGTAGCCCTCTTTTGGCTTCATAAACTTACAACACTGTATAGCTCTTGCAGCATCTCCAGTGCAATATCTCATCAAATACATTAACTTCAATTCATCACTTAATAAAAAACTGCTCAGCATGATCTCAAACTCCTTTACAAATTGTAAATAATCAGCCGGGTTTCCATCAAAACACCGTGGTTCAAATTTAGGGAGTTTGATGTTCCTATTATCCCTGAACGGCGAAACAGTAACATCAACCATGTCATGCTTAACATCAGACACATCGTTACAATTAACAGACAAGTCACCATGACTTACTTTCCTGTTTGCATCCAAGACACTCTGTCCCTTCTTTGACCCAGGCATTGTTGAACTTGACCCAATTCCAAAAACGTTCCAGATATTGCTTGTTCAAAGAGGACTTGACCGGCACCAGGAAAAATGAACGGCGACTATTCAAACTTTCACCAACTGTCTGAATCCGCCAGATCTGTTTCTATCGTCAGAAACTGTCAGTCACGTCTCATAAACCGTTAATGCTCAGCTCTCGCTACGCTCGGGCCCACGCTGTTCTTAGAAAATTTCAGAAACGCTTAGTTATAACGGACGCAAAAACCAAAACACCGATCTGCCGTTTGATATTTCTGTATTGTTACACCAACATATAAAAGGAATAAGCGAACTAAGGTCTGTAAACAAATATTACAATAATAAATCGTTATATTACTTCTGACGATATTTTACTCTTCTTTCTGAACAGCGACCGATGAGACGATGACTGTCGTATTGATGCCTCCGCGAAAATTGGGGAAGTTGATTTTGAGCAAACAACCAAGAATTGATCGTTCAATCTTCAACTCCATTGGCACTGTGTTTCTTGAGAATAATGGATATACCCATTGGTATACCAATTAACGAAGCCCTTTTTGTAAGTTAATCACAGGCAGTCGGTGCGAATGGAAGCACCACAGATGGAATTGAAGTTTTTCGTGATATAATGCTAAGAATACATTACTACTGCTGGGGAAAAATTGAGAATGCATCTAAGGACTTTCTGAAAGTGAGTACAATCGGAGTCAAAGTCGAAGAAAGTACATAGTATTTATCGAATCGGAGCGTCTTCGTAACAATAGGAACTTAGGGATAAGTTCCTTGACACTTATATTGAGTTATGCTTCCGACTACCTTCTCAGGTTCCATTAATAAGTCAAGCCCACATCCCGTCATTATAGAACATTATGTTAAGCAGGATGTGAGGTATATTTGATAGAGAATGATGAGGAGCAAATAGATGTACAGGATTGTTTATCTCAGTTACTTTGTTGGTGTTAAATTGCTTTGACTAGGTTGACTGACGCTACTGGACTTCTGCAAGTACATGAATGAAGTACATTGTTGAACCCATTACTGCTGGAGAATAAAATAAAAGTTAAAAACTTTGTATTCGCCAACCTTTTCTGACGACGGTTAACCCTTCTTTCATATTCTGTGATCACGAAAGCATTATTCTGTGGTTCTTGTCAAGTATAGCACTAAGCAAATGACGACTTCATATTGTAGTGTCATTCTGAGCTTTGAAAGATGGTCCACACATCTAAAAGATAGTTATTACGAACGCTGAAGTAGCACTTCCTTCTATTTGTTCGAAGTATTTCATCTTACGAAATTTCTTATCAACAATTTGCAGTATTCCTATTATTTTAATAGGAAGCTTGATGTGCTGTTTATTTTGATCAGCTGTCTCTTCACGGATAATAGCATCCAGCAACTACAAATGCTTAACCATTTTGGTTTGAATATCACTAAGTCTCTCTAGATAAGCTATTTATTGATAAATGGTTAAAAAATATGAGTAATAAATGTATCTTCCATATCCTTCATAATCTCAGATAATTCCTGAAGCAACAGGCGCTCTTCGAAAAAGAGAGTGGCATTTTTACGTTGTGAAGTAACTTCTACTTTTGTTACGTAGATCGCATCAGAAGCTTTTTAGTTTACTTTAACTGGTTTAATTAGCTGAAGTGGTGTTACTTTTGTGCTCTTTTGTGATCTTCTGTGTGGATTTGTATGTCTGTATTTAGGTATATATAAACAGCTTATACTGACATGAGTTTGAGAAATAACTGCGTACCACCGGACTTCCTCTTTCCGGGGGATGATAGGATGCAGTGTGATAAGTGCAACCTATGGTTCCACAAAGTTTGCACTGGCTTATCATCATCAGCCTATAGGAGATGCAGCAAGCCATCATCTCTGTGGGTGTGCAAATTTTGTACTAACCCGTTGGACATTCTCATCCAAGAAGCCGTAGGACTTCTCATGTCCAAGAAGTTAACAAAAACCTCAGATGAGTGGAAAAAGGCAGCATCTAGTACTGATGTAACAAGCGAGGATTCTGGCCTGATTCATAAGAATGGGACAGAACCACATCCCCAAGCTCCGAAAGACGCAACAGAGGAAAAGTGTGTCTGGAAGCCTGCAACAGCATAAAACAATACCGGAAAATATAATAGGGCAAACAGTATCGACTTTGTAAGACCTTGGGGTGATACCACAGCGGTGGAGCGTTGCGACTATGGTGAACGCTTGGCTTCCAACTGCTGCGAGAGCAAAGTGGAATCAACTAATTCCACCTGGCCAGTGACGAAAAATAGGAAGCTCAAGAATTATAGGAAAGAGAAAAGCACTGTGCTTAGTGGTGAGGTCTCAACGACCGTAAACTATAATAAGAATGTTAAAATTTCGGACTCAAATTACAGTATAATTATTTGGAACTTGGAGGAATCGTAGAAAGTAGATCCAGCTGCCGACATACTGATGAACTCAAGATAGTTAGTTCCATCATCCGTGAAATACTTTCGGAAAAAACAAATGGAATTCATATAAGGAAAGTCAGCAGAATCCATAAACGAATCACCGATGCAGTGAAAAGATTCCCACGTTTGCTGAAGATAGTACTGGGGAACGAGATGGAGAAAAGTATTATTCTCATTAACGCATTCAAGATCAAGGACAAAAAGATGAGAATTAGGACAGACTAGCCCTTGGAAGATAGAATTAGGAGAAGAGAAGGTCTGTTTAGAAAGGCCCGATAAGAAAAACGTGAAAAAGACCTCAAACTGTTGGGTTTTCCGGTACTAATGTCTCGGAAAACTATGTTAACCAGACCTCTGCTCAAAAGACGAGTGATTGCGTATTTCGCTCAGTATGCCACAGGAACGCTTGCAGTATTAGGAAAAGGGTTTTATAAACTAGGAGAGTTGACTGTGGAAATAAAATCCGATGTGCTAGATATCACCAGAGCATGGAATTTATTGGGTTTCGCCAAAAGTCCATTCATACCTGGTGTCAAAGAAGTTGAAGATTGAACGATCAAATCACGGTTGCTTCCTCAGACCCAACTCCTCCATATTTTTTGCGGGAGCCATCAAGCCAGCAGTCATCGTCTCATGTTTCTCTGTTCAGTGGAAGATAAAAAACTATCAGAGGTATTATCGTGATTTATTGTTATAACATTTTTTCTTAGACCTTGTGTGTAATAGCCTTATTGTTGGTTACACATTGGCGTAAGAATAAAGGATTCCCGAGTCGCCAATCTGTGTTCTGGTATTTTCGCGTTGCCTAATACAAGGTGTCTCTGAAAGTCTTCCAGTGATAGCGTGAAGTCCAGCGTAGTGAGAGCTGGACATTGACAGTATATGAGTTTTTGGCTGAAAGCGGTTTTACTGTAGCCTATCAATAAATTTGCAAATTTTGTTTACATATGAAAATAATTTGTTATTCCTTTAGACGGGCGTTCGGACGAGATGAATGCCATTTTTACTGGCACGATCTATTTTGTTATATATTACCGTCATGATATGTCATAAATCAATAGTCTTTCTAATGTTTAAATTTTTCGATAATGGTACAAGATATCAGAACAGGTTCTTATAAATGTTAGACTGTAAACCATTCACCAACAAAGTTGGGGTACAAAACAGACTTTGTTCCGTTTCATGCTGATTGTTATGGTCAACCAGTGGGCGGCGCATATTTGGGTAAAGGCTATGTCGCTAAGTTATTAAAAGCTATTTTAGGAAAACAAGAACTTCCTGGTAAACACAGCAGTAAGTTTGTGGTGAAACACACAAAAAAGTATTGCTACAAGAATAAATAATTTTCAGTCCATATGCGGCCAGGAACCAGAATAATATCGAATTAATCCACATAAAATGACAACTGGAGCATGCAGGAGCTGTAAATTATCGCGCGAGTCAGTGACATACAGGGGCTTATTTATATGTTGATAAGCTGAATGTATACATACTGTCTTACCAATTAATCGCACGAGAAGATTTCACTGAAGACGAAATTTCTTAATTTTGGTGAAGTAGAAAATGAGCCGCTGAGTAAGTGAAATTAAACATTCCTTTGAAGCCCTTATCGTAGGATACATACACAGAATTTTTTTATCAATACCTGAGTTGCAGAAGAGAAAATACGTGCCTCAATCGGTCTACTTTATTTCTTCTACTTTATTTCGACCTTGAAAAGTTCAAGGTCGTGTATAATTCGACTTTCACGCCTCAAGGTGGGTATTTCTCCATGTGGCTTATGTAATCTGTATTTTGAATGTACTTACTTGAGATTTGTATAAAATTATTCATGCACTTATTTATTTATGTAAAGTTTGTCGACCTGCTATGAAACTGTACTCTTCTAAGTTATCTATTCATATTTAACTTCCGTAAATCTACTTCTCGTACCCGAAAAGTGGTCTATACGTTCAAATTACCAGGGTCCTGATCTGTGTCCAACATTTATATAACCCTTAGCTCTAAGTTAAACCTTGTTTAACCACCAAATCGTACGTATTTTAACCCTAACAAAGTTCACACTTATAGTGCATGTTTAGTTATGTAGGTTTCTTCAGTATCACTCTTGGTGATCACCTGTATTCTTCAATTTCCCCCTGTTTGTTGAATTCCTAGGCTATATATTGTACATGACGTGTGTCCAATATATTGGATGATTTCCTCTTGAAAATTTCGTGTACTAGAATATATTAAGGCATAAAGATCTTATGGTAGTGCCTAATTTTGTAGGGCGAAGTAAGATGTTTGGTTTGTAGTCAGTTTCCTAGTATGTTGAGCGACCAAAAAATACTGTATTGTAAAAAGCTTAAGTTGATAATTCTCGTCTGACGTAGCACTGGACTGCTCAAAGGTGTATGAGTTTCGGTTACGGCACTTCGAAAAGACATGCTAAAGTAGCAGAATCGGACGCAATTGTAATGGGTAACAATAATTGAAAGAGCATGATCAAAAGGAAGTTAATGAATATTTTAGGAACAAAAAGAATGTAAAAAATGAATTCATTTATTTCATGGTGAAATTTCGAGCCGTCATAAAAAATCTCCAACCATTTGTTCTTAACATGCAGCTCTCTCTGAGTCACCCTGATCAACGTTTAATGACTATGCATCGGTGTCATGTTTTGGTCTACCTCGACTTTTTCCCTAATCCTAATGTGGCTCACATTACTTATCAAACGAGTTAGCGGCTCGATATGCTTAACACAATCCAGCCACCTCAAAAGCACAGAGCAATGTTTTGTCCTTACTGGACGCTGCATAAACATCACTGTTACTTGACATGTTACTCCGTGTAACATGAGCGGTTGTTGAACAGTGACAATTGCAGACCTAATTTTTTCATACTTTTTGTCTTCAGCAGACGTATGTACCATTAAGAAGGACTAAACAAACGGCCGCTCAGTACGCATCGTTTATTGTGCAGCCGATTATGAGACCTACGCTAAAAATGACTCGGTTAGGTAAATACCACCTCATCTTTCTGTATCCGTTCTGAGAATTCGTCAGTAATCTATTCATTCGTTGTCGGTGGCACAGTGGTTAGGACTCTCGCCGACCATGCACATGGTCCGGGGTTCGAGCCCACGCCGACACACACCTGATATCTATGGTCGGCCTGCAAAATTTGGGCTACCGATATCCATGCTGAAAATTCCATACTTGTACCAAAAATACGGTGTGGAATCAAGCTGTAATCAAAAACCGAAAAAATTAAATCAAATCATTAAGACTGACGAGAGTGTAAACAAATGAAGCCAGCACATTCAACCATTTCACTCTGTATGATTAAACTAGTAGTAGGTGCTTCAGCAGTCCTATGGCATCAAGTAACACTTAAAAGGGGGAAACTGCTCAAAATTTTTCTCGGGGTGCTTTGATGATTATATTTTGCCAGCTACAAACTAAAAGAGCTATGTGTACTTTAATTCAGGGAAACCGTTCCATGGTTGAAGTTGATCAGAGTTATGTCCATCACTATGTGTGTAGCTAGTTTTGGGTATCATTGGCAAACTATGTTGATTACCATTGTTACGAACAACAAACCATTTCTTTCACTGCTGCAAAATTCCAGTGGTGCTTTTACAAACTATAAGATTCTGCCTCCATACGTAGTTTTAGATCGGAAATGCTGCATTAGCTTTCAAAAAATAAAAACTATTTTCCATTCCTAATTTTATTATTCGTTTTCACTTCTAGACACATCACTTGTTTATAGAAAGATTATCAGTTCAGTTTCCGGCTTAAAAATGTTCATTTCTGATGGAGCACATGTTTTGCTACGTAAAGAAAACTGTTACCAGTTTATTAAAATCTCCACAGAAAAGTAAGGAATATTTGAAAGTTAACTTATTGTTTTAGGAAAGTGACGTTCGATGGAAAAAATTTCTCTCTAAAGAATGCAATTGGCTTGCCTTATGGTTCTATATTTCTAGTTTCAGGCGATGAAGTCCAACCTATTGCATACAAGTCGTTAATAACTGTTTGTTGTGAATATTCAGAAACTTAATCCATTATAGGCGAATTTAGAAGACTCCTCTTCAATAGCTGAGGAAAACAAAAATGAATCAAAAGATAATAGAAATATCAAGTGTTCTCAAGGTAATCAAAAGTTAAGTGGTTCACATATAGAACAGTTGCGTCTTAATGGTTTACCTGGACAAGTAGGGTATATTTATAAAAAATATTTTGCAGGACATTTTAGAACAAATAGTAGAAGGCAGTACGACTTTCGAGCAGAAAACTTCATTCTCTCAGCAAAAATATCTCAAGAAAAAGAAAACTAAACACTTGAGTTTATTCTCAATTGAAAAACCTAATACTCGTATAATCTTCGAGACGTACGGTAGTTTGCGTCCAGAAAAGTGTCTGTAAGTTCATAAATTTCAAATTCGTATTTTTTCTCAACAATTTATCACCATTAAAGGCATGGTGCATTTGATAATGATTTTACACAAACCTAGTTTCCAAAATATGCCTACCTAAATTTTCCAAACGGAAGTTGGTCTTAGCTATAAAGTAGGCTGTGATCTGTGCAAATCTACAACAGACAGTCTCCATTATTTTGTCTGCCACCATCTGGTTCCCATTGACCACCTCGAAAACTCTCATCTTTGCCTAGACACCTAACTCGTGCATTCAAGTCCCGCCTACAACAACGGTATCTATTACACCCACACGCTTAAAAAGCTCACTTAGTTGATGGTAGAACTCATCCTAAATTGTATCCGGACTGCAGCTTATCGGCTTGTCAGCAGAAATAGTGAAAATACAACACTTCACTGGCGGACCACTTTTTATTCTAATATAGACTTCTAGCTTGACAACAGTACACAAACAAATTTTATTGAGGATCCAGTTGGGTAATGCGTCTTCAACTCTGACGCTTAGTGTGACAGCAACACCAGCTGAATCAGAGTTCGATACCACAGGGTCCGCAGATAAGTGTACGTGAAACAGTATTTTAGGCTTGGAGATGGAGAAATTATTGTATGTTGGTCTCAGAGATGCAACAGTAAGGCTTCCCAGAGTGCATTGTAGACATACCCTATACCCGATTTGCACCAGTTTGCGAACGTTGCAGGTGGTAAGCGTGAAAGTGACACACGATGGCAGAATAGCCTTTTTCAGGTACTACAATGGACGCTGGATTTCTGGAGATAACTAACTGGCAACTCGAAACGGTAAAAACAGACTGAAATTTCAAACTAATGACTACTGACTCAAGCTAAGATGCTGGAAATACGCTGAAGATGACAGATATAAAAACTTACTTTACTTCGGCTATCTCCTACGGGAGAATGAACCGGCTTCATGAACATCTCGAATGTTTGTAAGAGAGTTGATGAAGTTTCATGGGAATTGGGTACGAGTGATGTCCCCAGAATCGCTTGGCCTTTTGTTTGAGAGTACAGCTTTAGCCTTTACACAACCAAGTGTGACCTACAAGGCAGTAGGAGTGGAGTAGGGAGTCCACTATCCATTGGAAGCCGGTGACCGGAGTCCGGTTCATACGCCTTTTTGAATACGGCCAGACATCCAGGGCATCCAATAAGCCCTTTGTCCATACGTCTGCCGGTGAGCTCCGGTGAGCTTCATACGCCAGTCGTTGAAGGTTTGGAATCAGGGTTTAGCCATCTCCCCTAGACTGTCATCCAATGGACAGTCAACCCGGTGAAGAGCGCCGGGCATCCGCTTTTGCCCTCTCACTTCGGTGAAATAAACACCTCCGCCACGTGAAGGCAGTGAGAAGGACTTCCTCAGGAGAGGCTATGTAAGACGCACGGTCATATATATATATATATATATATATATATATATATATATAAACAATGGTTTATATATGGGGATGAAAGTAATATTGGTTCAAACTGTTGAATAGATGATTAATTAAGTAATTTGTGATAGTGTGCTTGCGAGTGGAGTTTTCTGCTGATTGTCCCTTCATGATTTGTGCGAAAGCTGAGATACTTCCCAGATGCCCAAACTGAAGCAGGAGGTTGCCTTAAGGAGGCACTCCCTGAGCCTTTGACTTGGTGTCTGATCCTAAGAGAGGCAGAGTCTGTGAACTCAAGGCCACATAAGAATGTTTCTAATGGGGAAGATTGAAGTTTAACCAACCTCGATCATACCTTGTCATTTATAGCGAGAGAGGTGTAAATAACAAGTTCAAAGAAGGACAATATAGACACTGTTGTTTTATTACTTTTTATCTCTTTTATTTTAGCGGATTGCGTTTTGAAACTGTCTGTCGTATCTTATCTTATGCTAATATTCATGCTGGTTCAACTGTTCTTGTTTGTGAAACTTGTGCTGGACTTATCACCAGAGCTGTACTTGAGCGTATTGGTATAGACCAAGCTGAAGGATCTGTGATTCAATTTTATCATGGTTCGATACCTCCAAAATTAGAAGCTATGCCTCTACCAGAAGGCATATATAAGCAAAAAGTATGTTTTGTGTTTTGCTCTTTACTTTGGCAAAGTGAATATAAAATACATTATGTATTGTTACAATGTATAATCAATCATATATCATGAGATTATAGCATAAGTTGTATTGTAGATTTCAGATTGAAGACAAAAGTCACTTTAGCCCAAATAAAACAATCACATTAACTTTGTGGTCATTTTTACTACTGACTGATGGCTGTTAAAAATAGTCTTTCAAGTATTCGAATTGTTATCGAAACAATTGCATATAAATTCGTGATAAAAAGGATGAAAACGCTCCCATGTATTGCAAAAAAGGATGCTTTCATAACGTTGTATGTCTGTCTGTTTTCGACATAGAACTTTGCACATATATGCGGCAGTTAATAATATTAATATAATAATATCTTTATTCTGGACAAAATGTTTACACAAGATGCAGAATTCTCAGCATAACTGAAGGCATAATATTTTCTCTTCGTGTAGGATCTTTAAGTGAAGTAGTAATTGATATTTATTGCATGATCCGATGATGTTCGACCTGAGGTACATACCAATTCCTTATGACATTTTTCCTTCATCTCAGAGAAATACATGGATAACAATAGGGTGAAATACAGGTCAGAAACTTGGCGGGCGTGTCACGAGAAGAATTTTCAGCAGGCCACTGTAGACTTTTATCGACAGTTGCCTTCGCTGGCTCCATACTGAAGATCAAATGGCCAGAAAGAATAAGCAGCAAGAAACTATGGGAGGAAACAAACCAATAGGCGAGAGCCGATTGCTCAACAAATATGTAAGATAAAGTGGAGATGGATCGGGCATACATTGAGGAGGCTGCCGAATGACATCGCACACAGGCCATTGCTCTAGTGGAATCCTAATGGGAAGCAACGAGTTGGTCGTCAGTGCGAGGGTGACATGGAAGAGATCATGTGAGAAAGAGATGTGAGAGTTTGTTCAATCTTGGACCCAGCTGAAAAGGATGACAGAAAACAGAACAAAGTGGAGATGTGTGGTTGAAGCCCTATGTTCCACTCGGAATGCAAGGGAATAATAATAATAGGGTGAAAGCCAATGAGAAATGTACATGAGTACATCTTGCGACCGACAAATATAAATGAACAGTGAATAGGACAATAAGAAAGAGAGAATTTTATGCATTGTGTATAGAAAAGAAGTTCAGAAGGCCCAGGAATTCAAGTAGGCCACTAAAATAAATGAACAAGTTAGTATAGTTTCCTAGCTAATTTACTACCTTATCGCGAATAAGTAACCAACTAGCCGCGAACTACACCTTTTTTACAGTGATTAACAGGATTAATCAACTGCTTGGTGAAAATACTAGACTAACATGCGAACCTATGGCTAAACTGTAAAGATTCAAGTTCCAGGACTGATGAATAGCAACGGTGTGGTCAGCCGAGAAGTAATAATCACCCCCCCCACACACACTTCCATAAACATACAAGTCTTTTCTGAGCGCCACTCACCTTCTGAGCAGCAACTTGAGAGCCCCATATTTTATATATACTCTCAATTCGTTGTTTGCTTGTGTGATACAAATGTGACAATATGTATTCTTGTCTTTCATGAAATCTTAATGATGTCAGTATTTATTCGATTTGGTAAATATTTTGTGCAACTGTGTAGTTAGTAAAAAGATAAGTATTAATAAATCTTCATAAGACCGGATTGTTTTTAACTTGCGAAGACAATGAGTACTAAGTTACAATTTATGCAGAGTTAATTTCAAAAATGTCAGTAACAACATTGTGATAAAAAATGTGCTTATCATTGATTTGTTTATCATTATAGTTTCTTCGATCCTTGTGTAAAAATTCACATTTTTTTAGGTTTATCCTGTTCGTCTATTGGATGTAATGCCGATTTTACTGCATAAAGCTTTTGAAGATAAAAATAATCAGATTGCAGAAACTGATGACGATTCTGAAATCTTGGCTAAAGTAAGCTCTTTGCACTGTTTCATTTCATGTCATGAAGTACCTTAAAAGTTTAACTTTCTTACGCAACCTGTTCCCTTGATCATTTTCATCTTAAAAGCAAAAAGAACAAGGCTTGAAGTATAGAATGTGCGCATTTTACTCAGAGGCTTCTCTTCAGCTTCAGATAGTCTATTATGTATACATATATATATCATGGATTTTCGTGGGGACTTGAATAATTACAGTGCAGATTTCGTCGCAAATCCCGATCGATAGCTGCTACCTTGATGTGGTGGTCGGGTTTGCACATCGTGATGACCCAGCAAGTTGCACTGGTTGGAACCAATGTTTCTGCAGGTCCTACCAAGCCAGGAAGGTTGTAAGGATAGGAAATTGACTTTCTTACACTATGCTGGGGGTCGTGGCGAGTGGGGTTCACCATGTCAAGGTGAAGTAGTTGTTCATGGTAGTCATTCTTTGGGGGCAGCGCTATATCACGAAGTGAAAGAAGTTAGAATTTAGTGGGTAATTGAATTCCTACCAGAGTGGGTGAATAATCAACGCACTTGGTCTCGTAACCTGAGTCCGCTCCCTGTTGGGGTGATAGGTGTACATTGATGACGAGTCCCAAACAAGCGCGAAACACCTGTTCAGTACTCTCTGTCTTCCAATGATCCCTAACTGGTGTTGGTTTTTAACGGAGCTCTACACTGATATCCATTTATCGCCTTTCAAATTACTTGGAAACATTTCGTTCTATCAACGTCTTAACCTAATTAGGATCACATTAATAAAAATTACAATTAGGAATTAGAATGCCATAATAAACAGGGGGACGGATAAAACAAACAAAGTAGCATCATAATAGCTAAGAAGATTGACATTGTGCAATTAGGGGTTAGAAATGTAGAAATAACAAAATAGACAGGATGGTTGGATAAAAAAACTAATGTGATGAATAATTGTTTATGCAATCAGGGATTAAATATGTAGAAAAATAGTAAAATGACAAAATAAACACGAAGTTCGGATATGAAAATATGGTAGTGTAAACAGGGATTAAAAAAACTTAAGAAATAACATGAATAAACAGGAAGTTTAGATAAGAAAGGCGATGGGATGGTCATTACTAAGAAATTACCTGTTTATGATGGCCATGGCAGGGACAGGGGTTGGACGTATTTCTTTTGGATACAAAGCGTGGGTTTGAGCTTTTGGATAGCTAGCGCCTCGGCTATGCCCAGATGTCTTGATTTCACTCCCTTTGATAGGTTTGATTGAATCTTGTATATTACTTTGAAGGATTTTTCGAAAGGCGCTGAATGTCCTGAATTGACCAGATGTTCTGTCACTGAACTGTTTACACGCTTTTGGTCTCCTTTACTAACCAGACTGGGTAGTGTTCACGAGCCGTTTTTCAAGTCGGAGCATGGTACGGCCGATGTACTCAGCTCCACAAGAGCAAGTAAACTGGTATATGCACGTTGAGGTGGCCCAATGCGACAGCTTGTCTTTCGCGTTCTGGCTGAACAGTTTCTTGCAGGAAAACGTCAGTCGTAGGCTCGCGGCGAAGTATGTTTTCCTCAGCGATTTGGAGAGGCGTTTACGAAGGATTTCTGCTTCAATATCACCTTTGAATTCTAGATTAAGCAGAAGTATTGGACTTGTTCGGAAGTCTTCTTAGATTTGAGATTCTTGTCTATGAACCTGGGCGGGAAACCGTTTTCCATCAGGGTTTTTCGGAGATTACGCAGTTCTTCTTCAACCACTTCCTCGCTGCATATCTTCCGAATCCTCGAGGAAAGAGCGTATATCAGGTTCCTCTTTCTGCTTAGGGGCACGAAGCTTTGAAAGTTGATGAATTGTCCATTCCATGTAGGCTTTTTGTATATGGACCTTTTCAGAGAGTTGTTGGTGTTTCTTGTCAGATGGACGTCGAGGAAGTGGAACATTCCATCGGATTCAGTCTCAAGTGTAAAGTCGATGTTTGGGTGGGCGTTATTGAAGATTTGAAGTAGGTTTTTTAAATCACAATTCTCATCACAAATAATGAAAGTATCATCGATGTATCTCTTGTAGAGATGGAGGTCGTTGATAGTTGGTGATAAGGGGTTGTTTTCTAAGCTAGCCATAAAGCAGTCGGCTAGGAGGGGTCCTAAGGGAGAACCCATTGCTACTCCATCTACTTGCCTGTATATTTCCTTGTTGAAACTAAAGTATACGTTGAAGGTGCATCGTAGTAACAGTTCTTTCAGGTAATGGATCGGTATACCGACATCGATGCTATTGGATTGAATGTAGTCACAAAGGAAACATACGGTTTCTGTCAATGGAACGTTGGTGAAGAGAGAGACGAAATCAAAGGAGACCATTTTCTTTTCTGCTACATTGACATTCTTGATTGAATCAACAAAGTCGAATGTGTCACGGAGGTTGTGTCTTGACAGCTTCTCTTTCACTGGCCCGAGAATCTCCACCAGCCATTTCGCGATTGTATGATATGGGGAATCTATCATATCTAGTATTGGGTGGAGTGGGACGTTTTGTTTGTGCACCTTAGGTAAGCCGTACATGCGCAGCGTTGTAGGACCAGATGGGCGCAGTTGTTCGCATAGTTTTGAACTGATAATGGATTCGTCTTTCATTTTCTTCAATATCTTTGTTGGCCGTCTGTTCGGTGGGATCTTTCTGTGGAGACTGTTTCTGAAACTTTTTATCATCAGGTATTATCACCGAGAGTTTGCTTAGGTAGTCTGATTTGTTTATCAAGACGATTCCGGAGCCTTTATCTGGTCGTGTGATGATCAAGTTTTCATTGTCCTTCAGTTCTTTCAGCTGCTTTCGATGTTCTTTGGAAAGTACGTTACGAAGGCTGGGTTTTTTGTTGATGTAATCGAGGCAGCAATTTAAAACGGTTGATTTGAAAAGGTCTGCATTCTCATATGAGATTGGGACCAGATCTTTCGTCTGGTCGATTAAATTCTTGAATTGGACTTTCGTGTTCAGTTCATTCACTTTTGACGTTGCATCACAAAACTTAGGTCCAAGTGCTAAAATTTGCATTTGAATTGGAGATAGTGGAACATCAGAATAATTGTACACGTATTTTTCTGGACAAGTAGGAAAGACGGTTTCTTTTGTAACGGACTTTAGGCTTTGGTTTAGTTTCATTATAACATCATCTGTTCTTTTCTTTGTAACCGTATTGAAGTAGTTTTCGAATGATGTTCTCTCGTCTTCAGATAACTCATAGAGAACGTGGGAGCTTTTTGAGATATTCTGCTCTAGCTCAGGTAGTCTTGATCGCACTGCATCGATGTCATTCAGAGTGTGTCGTTTCAGTGTACGTGAGTTAGGGGATATGTGATTTCGTCTGAGATGCTTCCAAAATACTTTGGGATATTCATGTTTCTCGAGACAATTCTTCAAGAAGAAAATCTTTGCGTTTGCCTCAGCAAGCTGAACGGACAAACATGGAAACTTGTTCAGTCCCTCTCTCGTCGAACGGTTCTTGCTTCTCTTGAAATCACGAAATATACATCCACGGTAAAGGGACTGAACAAGTTTCCATGTTTGTCCGTTCAGCTTGCTGAGGCAAACGCAAAGATTTTCTTCTTGAAGAATTGTCTCGAGAAACATGAATATCCCAAAGTATTTTGGAAGCATCTCAGACGAAATCACATATCCCCTAACTCACGTACACTGAAACGACACACTCTGAATGACATCGATGCAGTGCGATCAAGACTACCTGAGCTAGAGCAGAATATCTCAAAAAGCTCCCACGTTCTCTATGAGTTATCTGAAGACGAGAGAACATCATTCGAAAACTACTTCAATACGGTTACAAAGAAAAGAACAGATGATGTTATAATGAAACTAAACCAAAGCCTAAAGTCCGTTACAAAAGAAACCGTCTTTCCTACTTGTCCAGAAAAATACGTGTACAATTATTCTGATGTTCCACTATCTCCAATTCAAATGCAAATTTTAGCACTTGGACCTAAGTTTTGTGATGCAACGTCAAAAGTGAATGAACTGAACACGAAAGTCCAATTCGAGAATTTAATCGACCAGACGAAAGATCTGGTCCCAATCTCATATGAGAATGCAGACCTTTTCAAATCAACCGTTTTAAATTGCTGCCTCGATTACATCAACAAAAAACCCAGCCTTCGTAACGTACTTTCCAAAGAACATCGAAAGCAGCTGAAAGAACTGAAGGACAATGAAAACTTGATCATCACACGACCAGATAAAGGCTCCGGAATCGTCTTGATAAACAAATCAGACTACCTAAGCAAACTCTCGGTGATAATACCTGATGATAAAAAGTTTCAGAAACAGTCTCCACAGAAAGATCCCACCGAACAGACGGCCAACAAAGATATTGAAGAAAATGAAAGACGGATCCATTATCAGTTCAAAACTATACGAACAACTGTGCCCATCTGGTCCTACAACGCTGCGCATGTACGGCTTACCTAAGGTGCACAAACAAAACGTCCCACTCCACCCAATACTAGATATGATAGATTCCCCATATCATACAATCGCGAAATGGCTGGTGGAGATTCTCGGGCCGGTGAAAGAGAAGCTGTCAAGACACAACCTCCGTGACACATTCGACTTTGTTGATTCAATTAAGAATGTCAATGTAGCAGAAAAGAAAATGGTCTCCTTTGATTTCGTCTCTCTCTTCACCAACGTTCCATTGACAGAAACCGTATGTTTCCTTTGTGACTACATTCAATCCAATAGCATCGATGTCGGTATACCGATCCATTACCTGAAAGAACTGTTACTTCGATGCACCTTCAACGTATACTTTAGTTTCAACAAGGAAATATACAGGCAAGTAGATGGAGTAGCAATGGGTTCTCCCTTAGGACCCCTCCTAACCGACTGCTTTATGGCTAGCTTAGAAAACAACGCCTTATCACCAACTATCAACGACCTCCATCTCTACAAGAGATACATCGATGATACTTTCATTATTTGTGATGGGAATTGTGATTTAAAAAACCTACTTCAAATCTTCAATAACGCCCACCCAAACATCGACTTTACACTTGAGACTGAATCCGACGGAATGTTCCACTTCCTCGACGTCCATCTGACAAGAAACGCCAACAACTCTCTGAAAAGGTTCATATACAAAAAGCCTACATGGAATGGACAATTCATCAACTTTCAAAGCTTCGTGCCCTTAAGCAGAAAGAGGAACCTGATATACGCTCTTTCCTCGAGGATTCGGAAGATATGCAGCGAGGAAGTGGTTGAAGAAGAACTGCGTAATCTCCGAAAAACCCTGATGGAAAACGGTTTTCCGCCCAAGTTCATAGACAAGAATCTCAAATCTAAGAAGACTTCCGAACAAGTCCAATACTTCTGCTTAATCTAGAATTCAAAGGTGATATTGAAGCAGAAATCCTTCGTAAACGCTTCTCCAAATCGCTGAGGAAAACATACTTCGCCGTGAGCCTACGACTGACGTTTTCCTGCAAGAAACTGTTCAGCCAGAACGCGAAAGACAAGCTGTCGCATTGGGCCACCTCAACATGCATATACCAGTTTACTTGCTCTTGTGGCGCTGAGTACATCGGGCCTACCATGCTCCGACTTGAAAAACGGCTCGTGAACACTACCAGCTGGTAGTAAAGGAGACCAAAAGCGTGTAAACAGTTCAGTGACAGAATATCTGGTCAATTCAGGACATTCAGCGCCTTTCCAAAAATCCTTCAAAGTAATATACAAGATTCAATCAAACCTATCAAAGGGAGTGAAATCAAGACATCTGGGCATAGCCGAGGCGCTAGCTATCCAAAAGCTCAAACCCACGCTTTGTATCCAAAAGAAATACGTCCAACCCCTGTCCCTGCCATGGCTATCATAAACAGGTAATTTCTTGGTAATGACCATCCCATCGCCTTTCTTATCTAAACTTCCTGTTTATTCATATTATTTTTTAAGTTTTTTTAATCCCTGTTTACACTACCATATTTTCATATCCGAACTTCGTGTTTATTTTGTCGTTTTATTATTTCTACATATTTAATCCCTGATTGCATAAACAATTATTCATCACATTAGTTTTTTTATCCAACTATCCTGTCTACTTTGTTATTTCTACATTTCTAACCCCTAATTGCACAATGTCAATCTTCTTAGCTATTATGATGCTACTTTGTTTGTTTTATCCGTCCCCCTGTTTATTATGGCATTTTAATTCCTAATTGTAGTTTTTTGATAGTTTGACCTATTACTGGAAATATGTCGGGACCTTCCCCATCCTTTTGGAACAAATACACGATTGTATAGTCTAGATGATGACTTCGACGAAAATGAAATTTTCTTCGCTGCAACTGTCTTCTTAATTATTCTTATGACCGATTGTGTGTATACCGTTATTTCGGATCATACTGTGTGTTAAGTTGGATACTAGTGTGTACCAGCATAGGATTTGTATATATTTAGGAGAAATTTGAGTTTTTATCGTCCTTCTTGACATCTTTAGTGTAGGTTTTAGTATTGAATGAACTCATTTGAATTCTCCTTGAATGATATAATTGTACGTCCTGGCAACTACTGTCGTAACTGATGTGTATTTACTTCTGTATTGATCATTTTTATGGACTTGTAATTCGGATTTTCTTGTCGTGTGCTCTACTTTTTATTGGCTGATATATTTAGTCTTTAATAACGTGTTTGTTAATTGCTAATTCACGTTTGAGTGTACCAGGATTCTAGAAATTCCCAGATAGTATTTTTGGTGTTTCCTCTGTTTAAAATTTCTATATTATCCTAATCAAATTAGTGTCCATAAATATCCACATGCATTGATATGCAAGAATATTTAGACTTTGAAATAGATAAATCCCACAAGCCGCCAATTCAATCATTTCATTCGATATTGTGCCAACCAAAAGATCCAATAGAAAAAGTAGATAAAATTAATACCATTTACAAAATAAACTGTATGAACTGCAATAAACATTTCAACTGTCTAAGTAAGGCGTCCCCTTGGAATCCGAATCCAAGAAGACAAATTAGCTGTAAAAAAGACATGATATATATTCTTCCATATCAATGCATGTGGATATTTATGGATACCAAAAATACTACCGGGGAATTTCTAGAATCCTGGTACACTCAAGTGTGAATTAGCAATTAACAAACACATTATTATAGACGAAATTTATCAGCTAATAAAAAGTATATCACATGAAAAGAAAGTTCGAATTTCAAGTCAATGGAATGATCAATGGAGGTGTACATTAACAACCAGTCAAGACAGTGGTCGCCTGGAGATACACTTACATTATTCATGGAGAATTCAGATAAGTTCATTTTATATTAAAACCTGCGCTGAAGATGTTGACTTAAAGGACGACGAAAGCTTCTCAATTAAATCAATCAGCTCCTCAGAGAACACAACTAATTCAATATCATCCATCCGAGCTACAAATCTCCATTATTTCAATATTGATGTTTTCAATTACTATCTACTTGTTAAGTAAGTCGAAGAAAGATGAGTAAATTATAATAAGCATAAAAATGTAATAGCAAGCAAAATATCAATGAAATTAAAGGAAATTTCCACAAAAAATTTGGGATCGTTAAAACCTTGATGGCGAAGATAAGGACAGTGTGTGAACCAACTTCTTTTGGATACATAAGTTAAGTTTCTTAATGTAGATCCCAACAGCCTATGCAATATGTAGTAGATGAACCCTTAAGGTAAAGTTAAGACTATTCAGTATGCGGCAGATGACTTTGAAAGCCTTGTTAGCATCAATACTGGTGAGAGCTTACCGCGAGTTGTCATCTGAAATGGTGACGACTAGTGGTGTCCGTCAAGGATGCCCATTATCCCCTTTTCTATTCAACTTCATCATAGATGTACTAATGGACTTAACCCTGACTCACTTCAGCGACTCAGGGATTGACTTGCTACCAGGGAATAATCTCGTTGACTTAGGCTATGCAGACGATATAGTCCTTCTAGGCGAGGACGCTGACAAAATGCAGAGTCTTCTAAACACCTTGAGCTGCAATCTGCGAATGTTTGGCATGCGATTCGCTCCCGCCAAATGCAAGATGATGTTACAGGACTGGACTACATCGACGCCTAGTTTAAAAATAGGAAGTGAAGTGGTAGAGCACGTTGACCGCTTCACTTATTTGGGAAGTACCATCAGCCAGTGCCAACGGTTGATCTCTGACGAAATCTCAGCACGAATAAAGGGGGCTCGTTTCGCATTTGCCAGTTTACGCCGTCTCTGGCGTAGACGTGATATCCGGGTATCGACCAAAAGGCGGGTGTACTGCTCATCAGTCCGCTCCGTCCTCCTTTATGGCCAGCTGTGAGACCTGGCCACTGAGAGTGAAAGACATGAAAAGACTAGCTGTCTTTGATCATAGGTGCCTGCGTTCTATTTCCCGTGTAAAGTGGTATAATAAGGTGAGCAATATTGAGGTAAGGCCTCGGTCGAGTGCTAGGTAAGGAGGAGAAATTAATCGACGAAGCTCTGAAATTACATCGACTGAGATGGTTAAGACATGTGTTACGTATGCCCAGTCATCGCCTTCCTCGACCTACAGGCAATGTTAGCTGATATAGGGTCAGGCTAGAAAAGAGCTAGCGGAGGTCAAACAAAAACATGGTACCAGTCAATGAAATCTACAACAGTTAGTCTAAGCCACGTAGGAAGGTGTAGACTTCCTGGTTGGGGTCCTCGGGACGGTAAAAACCAATGGTTGGAAACAATTGGTGACATAGCTCAAAATCGTTCTCAATGGCTAGTGCAGATGTATCCACTCCTTGTGACTTATGATTTCCAATGAAACTATATTGTTTTTCGTTGTTACTATTCCTTTGTCTCACATCTCTGTTTACTGTCTCTATTACGCATTTGTTCTACTTTTCCTGCTTTGTGTGCTACATGAAGTGTGGCGACTTGAACTGCCGCACATCGGTGCAAAGTTCTATGTCGAAAACAGACAAACAGAATACTGTGTCCTGTATCCACGAAACGATATTGAATGGAACTATGCGTGGATTTTGTTTGTCCCTTACCCAACCATGCAGGATAGTGTTCGGAAATCCGATATTCTTGATAGACATAAGTCGTTGTAGTTACTGATGCATTACGGCGTGTATTCCAAAATTCTCCTGAAAATATTTTTTAAAAATTATTTCTCCATGAAAGTCCTTTCTTATCACTACTTTATGCCTTGATTATGTATTTTGCTTTTGGTTGTAATAATATATCTCAAACACTAGTGAATATGGCTATCCATGTAGGCTATTGAAATTTGAATTCAAGTATGATTCCACACTTGTACCGAAAATACGGTGTGGAATCAAGCTGTAATTAAAAAAAATTATACCCTCATGGAATTGCCTCGCACATTTTCTATCCCACAATAACCCTTGACAAATAGATTCATTCCAGTTGCATGAGTGTGTGTGTGTGTGTGTGTGTGTAATATCTTTGCATTATTTCGTTTTCATATTTTTCTATTTTAGATTCCTAAAGTTGACGATGATGTAGTTTCTGAAGAAAAAGAAAAAATTACAGGTAATTAATTACGTTTGTCTTTGTTTTCTTCTTTCTGATTGTAGTATAAAACCATGAATGATTGTACTGGCTTATTGTGTGTCAGTGGTTCAGTCGTAGAAAATACTAGCCAATGATGCACACGGTTTGGGTTCGATTCCTGCCCGATATAAATCATCCGCGAAATCCAGGTCTTTTAGAGTCTTCTTGTTGGTCCGATGTATTCCTGTCTTCTCGTTCCCCGCGTACGCTGTACTGCATAATCCAGTTCACCACAGTTGAAAATATCATCCGTGATAGTAGACAACCTTATCTTACTCCTGTATTAACTTCAAAGGCGTAGCTGAGTTTTATGTTGTGGATCACCTGACATGTGTCCTTCTCATATAGCTGTCGAATGAGATTAATAAATATTTGAGGCACTGCACCCCATAGTGATGAAGCGGTTCTCAAAATACTTCGCAATCAACTCTGTGGAAGGTCTCTTGAAAGCCGATGAAGTTGAGTTAGAGTTTTGACTACCACTCTCAACGCCTCTGCTCGATGATGATTCGTAGAGCTGTTATTTGATCCACACATGATTTGCTTTTCCTGAATCCAGCTTGTTCTGGTCGGAGTTCTAGTGCATCTAGTGCATCTTTTGTTCTCTTCAGGTTGACACGATGTGGTAATTTGCTTGGCGTGAAATATTATCTTGCATTTCATTAAAGCGAATTGTATGCCAAATATGCATTTTTTAAAATCAACTTTTAAGTAAAAATTAAGCCTAGCTTTCAATTGTTTGTTTTTTCGGATTTGATTGATTTCAAGTTTGATCACAGATTAAGAGACAGAATCATTAAGAACTAGAGAGTCCTGAACTCTTTAGCAGGACTCACCCAGGACCCCACCGTGGATTGAACCTAAGACCCTCAGGTTACAAGGCGAGCTTGTGTACGATTCAGTGGCAGGAATAGAATCCATTTACATATGTGTTCTAATCTCAACTGACTCATTATATATAGCGCTACTGCCCGTCAGCCAATGTCACTGGCGAGAATTTGTCCCCACGCCCAACCTTGTTGACTCCACAAAAACTCCAGGCGACTCTGTTCTATATTCAGTCACTAGTGAATATCAGATTAATTTTCAAGTGTTTGTTTTTTACGATTTGATCGGTTTCTGGTTTGATCATGGATTAATATCAGTTGTCCAGTACTCCCTGGCTCTCAATGGTTCCCTAACTGATATCAACCACTGATCAAACTTTGGACCTAGTTTTTCCATTTCAAATCACTGACTTAAGACTAACCCACTGAAATCAATTCATTACTACTTTACATCCCCACAACTTATCAGGCGTTTACAATGACATTTTAACGTTTATGCAAACAATTATTCTGCATATACGTCTCCAAGTAAACATGATTAAATCATTAAAATTAATAGAGAATAGCAAAAATGTTCATTCAGGCATCTATAAAACACAAAATAATCGAGCAAAGAATATCCTTTTCCATAATTTCCTCTTCTGGCTCTACAATTATATACACATGTTTATATACACAGAATATTCTAGAATAGTAGTCACTAACATTATTGTTTTTTAAATAATATCGATTTGTAAATGTTATGTACTCGTCGACAAATTACTGTTATGGACTGGTCGAGAATTTAATAGTCCTGACGCAAGAAGGCGAAAATCAGAAGACCACTAGGTTTGCGATGATACTTCTATTTTCCAACACAAGGAGAAATGCAAAAGTGGTATCACACCAAAGTAAGTAAGTGTAGTAAGTCACACAAATTGTGAGAGCGAAATATATATATGAAATGTTCCAGACAAAGTGTGTGACAATCATTAGACAGTCTTAACATGAATGGCTAATTATAATGAAGTATTGATCCATATATACATAGCGAAATATAGCAGACATGTCAACAACCACCATATATGGATATATGTCACCAAGCAACGGACTGTCAACAAACACTCATATTATATATAATATAAGGGGAATATACATTGTTAAAGGAGACAGGTTCATACAAGTGAAATGGTCACGGACTAAGCGAGCAAACAGAAAGAGAGACCAACATACACACACACATAAATATATATGTGGATACATATCAGTAAAGTAAGATCACAATGGAATTACAATACATTAAAGATGCTCAAATTACAATGATAATAAAGATATAGTAGCAAATGGAATATCAACTAAAATTAGGAAAATTCCACAAAAATTCAGGATCATTCAAACCTAGATGGCCAAGGTAATAATAATGTTTGAACTAACTTCTTTTTGGATGCACAAATTAGACTTGTTAATATGGTAATTAATATTTAGTAGTGGAACTCTTAAGGCAAAATTGAGATTCTTAGGTATGCGGTAAATGACCCTGAAAGCATGGTTAACATCAATCTTGTGTTCTGTAAATTTCAAATAATGCGTTTGAGAAGTTGTGGACTTACGCATAGAAACACCTTCTCAGTACAATCGAATTATACAATTTAGTTTTTATAAGTATTTCTTATAATTTAATCTAAGTATGAACGAAGAGTATCAGACTCAAGTTTCAATGAAGAATGCTAAAACTGACATCGAAGTGATAACTTTCAAGTACAACAAAGAGCTCATTTTAAGCCTGTATGCTAATTGCCGTAAAACAAAATTAACTATTATTTTCAAGTATTGGTTTTGTAGGGATTTTTGTTTGATTGCATGGAGGATTTAATCATGAGCTGACATCAGTTAGAGAACCACTGGAAAACCTGCAAGGAGTACTGGGCAGCTGTTTCGTCCTAGTCTGGGACTCTTCAGCAGTACGCACCCACCGGGGTTCGAATCCAGGACCTTCTGGCTACAAGGAGAGCTCGTATACCATTGAGCCACTGGGACCCGATCCGATGGCCCATGAATTCTAACTTCTGCCAATTCACGACATAGCGCGACCACTTCGCAATGTCTTCTTCGATGAGTTACTGCCTCATCTTCAACCTGCTGTACCCTACTGGTCACGGCTTCCTAATAGAACCCCAGGTTACTGCCTGAATAGGGCCAAACTAGGACAAAATACCTGTCCAGTACTCCCAGGTTTTCCAGTGGTTCTCTAACTGATGTCAGCTCATGATGAAATCCTCCATGTAACTATTATTTCCTTCACTCTTGATTAATTTCGTTGTTTCATTTCCCATTTCATGTTAAGTTATTCGCTGTATTACTTTGTTTTCATCAACAGATCAAGAAACAGTAATAACACAAGTTAATACCAATAATCCACAGTACATTTCTTCGTTTAATCATATTTTTGGTAATGATCGTCCTGTACCAGATTCTCTTATCATTATTACTCGATTTCATCCTGTTGATTTAACTTTAACCTTACTTCAATTTTTGCCTATTGGACGACCTTTTGTAGTTTATTCACAATATATTCAGGTAAGTTAATCCCTTTTTATGTGTAACCGATGTTTCTTTCTAAATGTCTACTATTATTAGCTGAGTTTATTATTCCTGTAAAGATATTTTCAAACGATTAGTGCTGAGTTCGAATCTCTGTGGGAGTACTGTGACTTAATCAGTTGGCGATCAGTGTCTGTAAGTATGGTATGTGCTTTGCCCCGTCTAAGTGCAAAGTATTGTTACAAGATTGGCAGGAGCCTGTACCTGCACTCACCCTTGCGGATGAACCGCTTGAAGTTGTTGATAAGTTTGTGTATCTGGGTAGTTGTGTGAGTGCTGGCGGAGGGGTGACAGATGAGATTTTTAACCGTATAATGAAGGCTAGGGCGGCATACACCAACTTGAGCCACCTCTGGCGCCGTCACGACATCAGCCTTGATGTCCGATGGCATCATCGCGTGAGTAATTTTGAGGTTCGGCGGCGTGTGTTTGAACACAGTGGAGATCACCATTCGTTGAGTGTCGTCATCTGGAAACACCGGCTCCGGTGGCTTGAACATGTGCTGCGAATGTCATCCCAGACGCTTCCGTACAGGTCTCTGTTCGCTAGCCAACCCTGGGACGGGATGAAAAAGGCGGAGGGGTGATCAGTCCATGACGTGGCGTCGTTAGATGAAGGATTTTTTGCTAGATCGGCATCGGTTGGTGTGTCACGACTCCCTGGTTGGGGTCCACGAGATAGCTCAAATCGATGGCTCGAAACGCTATCGGATATGGCCACGAATCGTAATCAATGGCGAACGTGTTGTAATTTCCTTCTTTCTTCCCTTCCTGATGGTAGTTAACGAATACTGTTTAAACTTCTTAAGCATGACTGTTTTCCTTCCAGATGAAGTTCTTTATCCGTTCTCTACTTATATATATTTTTTCTTTTCCTTCCTTTTTTTGATCTATGTTGTTTTATTATTATTGTGTGGCGCATCTTTCTTGGTACCATATTGTACCAAGTTTTTTTCTGCGTTTAAATAAATAAATAAACTATCACTCATGTCTTTATGTGGACGCATTGACCACATATTCACGCTGTGCACCCAATGATGATATCCGACCTTTCTAGGCAACTCACTGGGTGCACTGACATTAAAATTCTGTCTTTTTCTTTGTGGATGACCACCGCTTTTGTCTGACCGTCTAAGAGATTTGTTGGAATGGGATCCTTTGAGATCCCCTATAGACCATCACATAATTTGTTTCTAAGTGAGTTTTTGGGTTTGATGATATAATGGCTTTCTTCTTCAATAATAGCTGTCTAAGTATATACATTTCAGTGTTTTATTTAATTTGTACATCATCTGTTGTTCAGTAATACGCAACTTATTGCTTTACTTTCCTTCTCCTCTCACTCTCTTTCTCCTTTAGCCTCTTGTTGATTTGTATAACGCATTAAAACAACGTGGAGGTATAACACATCTTCGTTTAACTGATACTTGGTTTCGTCGTATTCAAGTGCTACCTGATAGAACGCATCCAGAGATTAATATGTCATGTACAAATGGTTACCTTTTAAATGGTTATACTGTTGAACCAGAAATAAGTACAAAAGCCTTATTACAATCAGGACTGTTATCATCTGTTTCTTAACAATGTATATGTATATAGTTCAACCTACTTTTTTAATCGATAAAGTGTATAAAGAATGCTTTTATTGTCTTTCTTAATATATACTACTTTTTGTAATCATTTTTTGTTTTTCCAGCGGATATTAATAATTAATGGGGTTTTGTAGGGATTACGATTAATTTGGTTGTAGATTTCGTCACATGCTTACGTTAGTTAGAGAATTATCGAGAATTGGATTGCACTGGAAAACTATTTCGTCCTAGTTTGAGTCTCTTCGGCAGTTCCCTCGCACTATGCCCCCAGAGGTCAACCTGAGACCTTTAGGTTGTGAAGCCAAGGTTGTCGATAATTCAGGCACTTGGACTCGAGTTCATTGACCTGTGAATTATAACTTTATTATTTCGAAATAGAACTCTGTTCTGACGTTTTAATGAGAAGCAGGATCCATCATGCCAAGGTAAAGTGGATGCTTGTGGAAGGTATTCGCTAAGGGTTGCGCTATATCATAAATTAACAGGGGTTAGAATCCACGGGTGATCGGACTCCAGTACATATGGCTGAATAGCCAACGAACCTGGCCTCGTAACCTCAAGTTCCCCAGTTTAATCCATGGTGAAGTCATGGGAGACCACGGATGAAAAGTTGTAAATTAGGACGAAACGGCTATCCAGTTCTTCCTGGTTCTCAATAGTTCTCGACCTAATGTTATCTCGTGTTACGTTGTTCATTTATATTCATAGTTTTAGACTCATAAAGGCGAACTCGGTAGACGGGTTCTGGTTAACTTACAAAGTTTTAAGATATGCCTGTCTTGTGTGAAAGCTAAGCGAAGTACTCTTTCTTGATCGAACTAAAAAACTAAAAAAAAATCAAGGATAAGATAAATGCATAGGTGCTTTATAGTCAACACCTTATTGTAATTCTATCTGCAAAGTTTCGATAAGCTGAATGTTCATTGTTTAGTTGGTGATAATTTGTATATGCAATATAGAGTTTGTGAACTTACACAGAGGTCTCTATATAACTTAATTGCTGTATTTGTAATCAAAAGATAGTAGATTCATAAATTCTTATCATTTAACCAGTGGACTGTGCTTTAATGATACCCCACTCTCCTTAATTTGATCAGTATTTGTTTGAATTTGTAATAATCAGTTATCGAAGCTAACATATATGAGTCTTCCAGATACTTGGTATACCTGTGGGAGAGAATCGATTTTCGAAGAGTTGTATGGTTACATAACTTCATAAAGTGAATAAAAGATAATCGATAACGTGTTTGAAATGTATTTTTAGTGCAGCATAACTTTACTGCATGAAAACGACGTCATGGTTAATTGTCCCCTAAAAGTATTTAGTAGTAACAATAGTTTAAAACAATTAGTCCCTTTTATAAATTTTGATAGCGTTATTAGAAGACGGAGACTGTCTGAAAAATGTGATGTATTAGCGCTATACATTTCGAACAATCTGATCACACATTTACTTGTCAAGTCAATATATATAGAAAGGTTAAATTAAACAAAGTGAGAGAAAACGGAATTAAGAATAATTAACACAAACGTTTGGTAATCCAATCAAATAAGGATTACCAAGGTAGGTTAAGAGTAATGACAAACTGTTTTTGAATACACAAGGGGGGCTTAAGTCTATGAATAGCTATAGCCTCTGCGTATTTCAATAAACGCCCTTGACCGTTTTTATAGATGACCTTAAAGGCTGAGTTAACATCAATCTTATGGTTCATCTCGATTAGATGTTTAGCTATAGACGAATTTGGTAGTCTGCCACCTGCATCTATTAGCTTGTCACAATTCATCTGTTTTTCTAACCATTTTGGGATATGCTCTCCCACCCTCACGTGCAAAGCGCGATTACTCCTCCCTATGTATGTATGTCCACACACACACGAAAATTGGTAAATTGTATGGGATGTGATATAATCACTTGTGCACTTTTGGGGTTTACAGTGAAGCATATTTTTGGCTTTTTCCACAATTACAAGCTGGGCAGCATAGTAGGTCCTACGGATGATTGAATTCAACCTTTGTCTCACAATCCTACTGTTTATTTCCCCGTTATATGGTAATTTGATAAAAACCTTTTTCTTAGGGACGGTATGGATTGTAGGTTTAGAGGCTAGTTGACTTCTACACCTGTTTAAAAATTTCAAAGGATATCCGTTTTTAACAAGAGTATCCATTAATATTTCGTTTTCTCTGTCCATAACATCAGCCGTGCAAATACGCTGAATCCTCTTGAATAGGCACTTCACCAAGCCCCTCTTATACTGTAATGGACAGAAGCTGTGAAAATTAAGGTATTGCCCTGTCCAAGTGGGCTTTCTGTAGATAGACCGTCTTATTGAGCCATCATCTCTTCGACTCAGAAGTATGTCTAAAAATGATAGCTGGTTGCGACTTTCTTCCTCACATGTAAGACTGATATGATTTTGTACAGAGTTAAGTCTGTCTAATAGGCGACTCGCATCTTCATGATCGTCACATATCAAAATGATATCATCTACATATCTCCTATAAAAGGGCAATTTTGAAATTAAATCAAGGGATAAGTTTTCAACATAAGACATATACACGTCCGCTAACAAAGGTCCTAATGGACTCCCCATAGCAACGCCATCCACTTGTCGAAAATGTTCGCCTTCAAACGTGAAATGGACGTTGTCAGTACATAATAATAATAAATCTTTCAAATAAGTTAAAGGGAATTAAAGGGATTGTCCTTGAAACCCATGGGATCTGATTTTCCAAACCTCTATGGACTACCTAAAATTCATAAGGTTGACAATCCATTACGTCCAATTCTTTCAATGTGTAACTCTCCTACACATAAACTAGCAAAATGGTTAGCTGATATTTTAAGCCCAGTACGGAATGAATTATGTAAGTTTACTTTGAAAGATACATTTGAACTTGTTGACTGTCTTGTAGATATGAACATAAAAGATAGGAAAATGTATTCATTTGATGTTAATTCTTTGTTTACTAATGTACCATTGATTAAGACTGTTGATATTCTTTGTGACTATATTTCTTCTAGTTGTTTTTCATTCCCTTTCCCTTTAACTTATTTGAAAGATTTATTATTATTATGTACTGACAACGTCCATTTCACGTTTGAAGGCGAACATTTTCGACAAGTGGATGGCGTTGCTATGGGGAGTCCATTAGGACCTTTGTTAGCGGACGTGTATATGTCTTATGTTGAAAACTTATCCCTTGATTTAATTTCAAAATTGCCCTTTTATAGGAGATATGTAGATGATATCATTTTGATATGTGACGATCATGAAGATGCGAGTCGCCTATTAGACAGACTTAACTCTGTACAAAATCATATTAGTCTTACATGTGAGGAAGAAAGTCGCAACCAGCTAGCATTTTTAGACATACTTCTGAGTCGAAGAGATGATGGCTCAATAAGACGGTCTATCTACAGAAAGCCCACTTGGACAGGGCAATACCTTAATTTTCACAGCTTCTGTCCATTACAGTATAAGAGGGGCTTGGTGAAGTGCCTATTCAAGAGGATTCAGCGTATTTGCACGGCTGATGTTATGGACAGAGAAAACGAAATATTAATGGATACTCTTGTTGAAAACGGATATCCTTTGAAATTTTTAAACAGGTGTAGAAGTCAACTAGCCTCTAAACCTACAATCCATACCGTCCCTAAGAAAAAGGTTTTTATCAAATTACCATATAACGGGGAAATAAACAGTAGGATTGTGAGACAAAGGTTGAATTCAATCATCCGTAGGACCTACTATGCTGCCCAGCTTGTAATTGTGGAAAAAGCCAAAAATATGCTTCACTGTAAACCCCAAAAGTGCACAAGTGATTATATCACATCCCATACAATTTACCAATTTTCGTGTGTGTGTGGACATACATACATAGGGAGGAGTAATCGCGCTTTGCACGTGAGGGTGGGAGAGCATATCCCAAAATGGTTAGAAAAACAGATGAATTGTGACAAGCTAATAGATGCAGGTGGCAGACTACCAAATTCGTCTATAGCTAAACATCTAATCGAGATGAACCATAAGATTGATGTTAACTCAGCCTTTAAGGTCATCTATAAAAACGGTCAAGGGCGTTTATTGAAATACGCTGAGGCTATAGCTATTCATAGACTTAAGCCCCCCTTGTGTATTCAAAAACAGTTTGTCATTACTCTTAACCTACCTTGGTAATCCTTATTTGATTGGATTACCAAACGTTTGTGTTAATTATTCTTAATTCCGTTTTCTCTCACTTTGTTTAATTTAACCTTTCTATATATATTGACTTGACAAGTAAATGTGTGATCAGATTGTTCGAAATGTATAGCGCTAATACATCACATTTTTCAGACAGTCTCCGTCTTCTAATAACGCTATCAAAAGTAACAATAGTTATAATAACCAACTGCTAGTCATTTACTGAAATATTCTGATGCAACACACGTCTTGCTCAGCTCTAAGGCATCATGGAATCGTCAGTACTAAGGCCTTATAAGTTATACACAGACTGAGCATTTCAGTCCGGTAAAATGAAACAGCGGGAAATTCGTCAGGAAACAACTGGGACCTATTGAAATATAGGGGTGGTTTACATGACTCAGTAACACAGTCGGGGTGGTTCTTTCTCGCTTGAGACGATGGGTGCTGGTTACGAGTTTCCGTAGGAACACCATCATTCATTAGAAAGTAAATATACCTGACTGGTGGGTCTTAAAGAGGGAAAAACTCGCATATTTTGTTCCACTGTTAGTCAACAACAATCGAATAAAATGGATGCTAACGTCCTCCAAAACATCAGATTTGTCTGTCAACGTTTTATAAGCGGTGTAAATAAAACTTCAATGTTTGCCCAATCTAGTGACGAGATGTTAGTTCCTTTATTATTTATGAAAGTTTACACATTATTCATCCCACTTTGACAAAACGTTTCCATTTAGACTGTTTGGCATCTTCATCTCTTCTCCTTGAAGTAAAAGACTGAACAGTGAGAATATATACTTGGTAGTTCAGGATCATGATTTATTTAATCCTCTTGCATAAGGAAGGAGATTCGCATTTTCAACACAAATGTTAAGTCGATCTTTCTATGTGGGTCAGAAACATGCACTGCGTGTAACGAGAAGGATTTCCAACAGGCTACTTCAGACTTTTATCAACAGCCACCACCTTCGCTGGCTCCAGACTGAAAATCAAATGATGCCTATGATTCCCAAACTAGGATGAAACAGCAGCTGTCCAGTACTCCCTGGTTTTCAATGGTTCTCTAACTGATATCAATCCGTGATCAACCCGTAAAACAAATGTTTATCACTGAATTAATTCATGAAGTTTATCAGTTACCTATTTATTTTTATTTAGTAGTTCTTTCACACAAATAGCAGTGTCTTAAACAGATTAGAAACCAGGTGTATTTTCTAGAAGAAACAATAATGAGAGTAGATTGATTTTCATCCTTCAACTGCAAAAAGTGGCTAAAAGAAGAGATTAATTTCCTTTGAGAGTGAGAAAACAACCTTTTAACTCGTAATTTGCAAAAGGATTATTATGTATTATTTATTATTCCCTTGGGTTCCTAGTGGCACAGTGGTTAGGACTCTCGCCGACCAAGCACATGGTCCGAAGTTCGAACCCCTGCTGACGCACACCTGATATCTGTGGTCGGCATGCAAAATTTGGGCTACCGATATCCATGCTGAAAATTCCATACTTGTACCAAAAATACAGTGTGGAATCAAGCTGTAATCAAAAATAAAAAAAAATATACGGCTTCAACAACATCTCCAATTTCAAATATTCAAGTATTGGTTTGTAGGGATTCGGTTGATTGGTTACGGGATTTCATCATGATTCTCTAACCAATGTCAGCTTATGATGAAATCCCGTAACACATCTCCAATTTGTCCTATCTTCTACTGTCCCATTCAGCCACACTATCTCCTCCATGCCACCCTCGCACTGATGACCCACTCGTCGTTTTCCACTCGAGCGATGGCCTGACGCGTGATGTCATTCGATGGTCTCCTCAGTGTGTGCCCAATCCACCACAATTTCCTCCTACATATTTGTTGAGCAATAGACTATTGGTTGGTTTATTCCCAGCCAGAGTTTCTTGTTGCTAATTCTTTCTGGCTAGACGGCCATTTAATCTTCAATATGGAGTCGGTGAAGTTGGCGGCTTTTGATAAAAGTCTGAAGTAGCGTGTTAGAAATGCTTTTCGTGATATGCAGTGCAAGATTCTGACTGACTGACTTTACATTTGTGTTGAAAATCCGAATCTCGTTATTTACACTGCGGAGTGCAGATTTCCAAATTGGTTTCAGGTTGGTGAAGGCGTTTCTTGCCTTTCCGATTCTGACCAGCTTTGACATCTTTATCCGCGCCACCCGTCTGTGGTTGAAACGATGCTGGCTGCCTAGATAAGTGAAGGAAGTGGCCACTTTCAAATTTCACCCAATGATGGTGCTCGTTGTTGTTGCTGCTGTTGGTTGGTTGGTTGTCTTCATCACCTCCATCTTCTGTATGTTCACCTGGAGTCCTGTCTTCTCTGACGGCTTCTTCAACCAGTTTGTTAGTTTTTGCCGGTATGCATTCGAGTAGATAACCAAAATGATGAAGGGAAAACCGTGGACCGGACAAATGCAAAGTGAAAATAGCAAAGTAAGTAAAGAATGGTCTTGTAGAGGAAATGATTTTTCCTTTATTTTTCTGAGTTTGCAGCTTTGTGAACGGCAGTGCCTCTGGACGTTTAGGTAGGACTTTATGAAGTATTACTTAACTTGCAAAAGGAGCTGAGTGTTTAGAGTCTACAGAGTGATTGAATATACTTGTTTTCCCACAAGTAAGAAGCACAGCATGTTTACAGCCAAGTCAACTTTGAGGTTTCTTTATATTTTGATCATTAAGCCTAAATTTTGAATTATTTTTCTAACTTTACTTCTCAAATAACTCCAGTATAGCAGTGTCACTATCCCTTTTCTTCTGCATTTTTGAAATAGAAAGTTGAAATTCTTCTTGCATAATAGTATCTAGCTTTGGAAGCTGGTCGGTCACCAGTCCTACTTAGTCTTTCTCCAGTTGGCTGGATAATTGTATGTAATTATTAGATCATCCTTTAAATTTGATGTCGTGAAAATAGGACGTCAGATTTCATTCAGTCTGATAGAAGAGAGGTTTATTTGTTCCACCTTTGAGCAGATAGCTACTATTTTTTAGCCTAGTGGCAATAAGCTCAACAAGATACCATGTGTTTGCACACCATTAATATCTCGGAACGTTTTATTATCTAATCTTAGAGCTGATTCCTCATAGGATCAAATATGTTCATCAGGTACTTGGTAACTTTATAGTACTGAGAGTGTATCGGATAAATTATGGAGACACAGGATGATAGTGGTAGAAAGACCAGGTTATTCTCAAGGATCCTTATTAGTATACAATTGGTGGATGGTGGCTAGCAGTGGAATCCAGGATGCGCATTTCGTCCTATTTGGGACTCGTCAGCTGGATGTACCTGCATTTCTCAGTGAGTGATGATGTTCCCGCCGAGGCTCGAACCCAGTGCCCATAGTTTCAAACGCCAAAGCGTTATCTTTCATTTTATTCAATAACTTAAAGTGCTTGATATTTATCCATAATGATGAAGAGTCCCAAACTAGGGAGAAACATCCGTCCAGTACTCCCAGGTTTTCCAATGGTTCTCTAACCAATGTCAGCTCATGATGAAATCCTGTGACCAGGAAGACAATTGTTGATTGGTATTAACCAAATATTCTCCATTGTTTTCTATGAAAACACGAGATTTGTACGACATAAAATAGAATTAAGGTTTTTCTTCCTGTTTGAAGCTCTATTACTCCTGGCTGATGTCTCTGTCTGTCTGTCTATTTTCGACATAGAACTTTGCACAAATGTGCGGAAGTTCAAGTCGCCACACTCCGTGCAGCACACAAAGCAAGAGAAGAAAGTACAAGAAAAGCATAATAGAGACAGTGAGCAGAGGTGTGAGACAAAGGAGGAGTAATAACGAAGAACAAAAGAGTTTCATTGGAGATCATAAGTCACAAGGAGTGGATGCATCTGCGCTAGCCACTGAGAACGATTTTGAGCCATGTCACCAATTGTTTCCAACCATAGATTTTTACCGTCCCGAGGACTCCGACCAGGAGGTCTACACCTTCCTACGTGGCTTAGACCAACTGTTGTGGATTTCATTGACTGGTGCCAAGTTTTTGTTTGACCTCTGCTAGCTTTTTTCCAGCCTGAGCCTATATCCGTTAACATTGCTCGTCGAGGGAGGCGATGGCTTGGCATACGTAACACGTGTCCTAACCATCTCAGTCTTTGTAACTTCACGACTTCGTCGATTGATTTCCCCTGTTTACCTAGAACTCGACGCCTAACCTCAATGCTGCTCACCTTATTATGCCACTTTACACAGGAAATAGAGCGCAGGCACCTATGATCAAAGACAGCTAGTCTTTTCATGTCTTCCACTCTCAGTGGCCAGGTCTCACAGCTGGCCATAAAGGAGGACGGAGCGGACTGATGAGCAGTACACCCGCCTTTTGGTCGATACCCGGATATCACGTCTACGCCAGTGACGGCGTAAACTAACAAATGCGAAACGAGCCCCCTGTATTCGTGCTGAGATTTCGTCAGAGATCAGCCCGTTGGGGCTGATGGTACTTCCCAAATAAGTGAAGCGGTCAACGTGTTCTACCACTTCACTTCCTATTTTTAAACTAGGCGTCGATGTAGTCCAGTCCTGTAACATCATCTTGCATTTGGCGGGAGCGAATCGCATGCCAAACATTCGCAGATTGCAGCTCAAGGTGTTTAGAAGACTCCTGGCTGATAAATTTCTTGATTTAATAGAAAGAAACTTTGAACCAAGCGGTTACATAAGATGATATCTTTCCTAAGAAGGGCCAGGTACGCACTATCCTATCAAACCACCACCATCCAATGGTCAATTTTTCTCGAATTTTGCCCTCTATTTGTAAAATCTGATCACTGTTTCTTGTCATCAATGAACAACAACCATTCTACATTCGAGTTGATTGACCTCATTGATTCCGCATAGTTTCATGTGTGACTAATACTGAAAGCTTAAAAGATAAGACGAAAATGCTATATAGTGCCCTTTCATTTTCAAAGGTTCTCTTTAGGTAAAGTTCATTTCATGACAAAATCTCTCCTGCATTCTCTGCTTTCTACGCTAATTGAAATTAATCAGATGGCTTTATTTAACCAGTTATATTGAATTATTTCTTCTAACCGGTAGTAAGGAATATGGCCATGTCATTCAATTCGTTATTTAAACATTACACTGCTTAATAAATCCATAAATCATTGAAGTCATATATATAATATATATATGAATAAGAAATCGTTTTCAACTAATCTTACCTGCTTACTAATATATTGATTGAAGAATTTCCCTAGAAATATTTCCTTTACAATTGGTGGGTTGTAATTACAAGTTTTAAATAAGTATATAACAGCAAGCTTTTAAGCACTAATATATACATTCACTGAAGGGAGAAAAAACAAACCTGGGAAATACATTAAATTTTATGGAGTTTACAGACCAATGACTTTTAACTACACATTTTCTAATTAATGAGTTCTTTCAAAAATTTTTTCGAGGTAAGTAGAATGAATATGTCATAATAATGGAATATTCATTCAATATTTATCACATACTTGTAATTTCCTGTTGTGCGTCGGTGGAGTAGAGGTTAGGATGCTTGCCTACCATGCACATGGTCCGGGGTTCAATCCCCGGCCACAGGACGCACTCCTTTACCTCGCTAAGCTAGAAATAATTCTGGTAAAGAGGAAGGGTTTGAGAGGAGGCTAGCAAAATTGAACACTGCTACAGAAACTTCAAGCCACTGGTTTGAAGCCCTGTGTTCCACTGGGGAAATTGAAGGAAAAAATTTCCTGTTGATATTTCTGAAATGAATTGGTCAACCAAACAAGGAACTTCAAGTTACTAATCACTGATGTTACTAAAGTATCCGCTCAGACAGTCTACATGCTGACATGAGGCTGATTAGTTCACTCTAGAAATTCCCTTGGGAAATTACAGGTATGACTGAATAATTTTTAATCATATATGCTGCATAAATCATAACTCTTATGGTTAACTAACCTAGTAGGTAACTCTTCACCATTTGAAGCGATGGGTGATAAGTTTAAGTCGCAAATAGGAGAACCATTACTCATTGGACTGCCACTACATCCTCATGATGGGTCCCGAATGGGACGAAATTCGTGGCCTAGATTCTACTGATAGCCTCCCCCACCAAAATAACTTCAAAATAGTCGTTATTGCCTATATTTTTGCTTGGGAATGAAACGTGTGATAACTTGATGATTCAATGCATATCTTAGGGAGACATGAAGTGAACCAATCGAGAACAAATGTCTTCTATCATGTTATTCGTGGTAAAACTTATTTATTTGATGTATTAAAAAGTAAAATAGTGTCAGTTAAAAAAACGTAGAAAGAAACTCAGTTACAATTACACAAAACCATACAACACGACGGGACAAATGTGAGTTTTAAAATCCAATAGAACAGAGTGTAGGAAGAGATTAATAAATGAGGTTATATTTATCGAATCAACTAAGAATTTGTGCAATAGAAATGATTCAACAACTCACTCGAAAATTTGAAGAATCCTCCTACTCTTACGACAAACGTGAGAGGAGGATGAGAATTATAAAAAAAAGCGATTTTTAGGAAGGTGTAGTTATAACTGATATGATTATGAACAACAGACTGTGTCTGAAACAACATTCAGTAAATGATACTTTTTTACTGTATGACATATATCTAATCTTCAAGTATTGGTTTTGTAGGGATTTTGTTTGATTGCATGGAGGACTTAATCATGAGCTGTCTACGAGCTCGCCTTGTAACCAGAAGGTCCTGGGTTCGAATCCCGGTGGGTGCGTACTGATGAAGAGTCCCAAACTAGGACGAAACAGATGTTCAGTACTCCTTGCAGGTTTTCCAGTGGTTCTTTAACTGATGTCAGCTCATGATGAAATCCTCCATGCAATATATCTAATCAACAAATAAATATGGAATTGTATGCTGCCATAGTGTTCAAGTTATGCACATGTACTGACATGTCAATCATGAATGGTCGCCTTATATCTCAGAATTTAACTTTGAAACCGAATGTTAAACTATACTACTGCTGATTTACTAAAATGATCTAAAGTGAAATAAATTAATGACGATATTTCAACTGGTAATCCATCACGTCAATGGTAAAAGGAAGTAACCGTTTGCATTCCGATTTTTGTTTCGTTCCTGGAATTCCAACCGGAACATAGGGATTAAAGGTTTTTACAGCCACATTAGCGGTGTTGATTTGAGGGGGGGGGTTACTTACTAGCTTCACACTCAACCTTCCTTCTTCTTCTTCTTTGGATTTACTGCTGGCTAGTGTATTAGGCAGGGCTTCCATGCGTGTCAGCTGAGAATTGAACTCAGACCTCCTGCGTAGCTGGAGAGGATTTTACTAGTGAATCACTGACGCAAGTATTCAACTTCCGTTTCATTCATAAATGAATATATTATGAATTTAGTGACTCACTGTTAATTGTAAAAACCAGAAATCGGTTATCTCACTGTACTGTTTGCATTTAGAATACGAAATCATGTAGAATAATCTAAGCAAACCGTATGACACCGCATCTATGGGTATTATTTCAGAGGGAAATTGATTTCATTATATTACTACCTAGTGGGAACATAGTTAAAGACATTAACATAGATTTGATAAACACTGTAGACTTTATTTCATCAATTAAAAAATAACCGAATAATTACCAGTGTCGAACTTACTGATTGATGTATGTTATGGAATGTGTAAATTTCAAAGGGGTGTCGAAATATTAAGACTAGTGGGCAACTAAAATATTACTCAGCAAGCGTGCGATGTTGTCATCGTATCGTAATCATAACCTCATTGGGAAGGGTTTAAATTGCCTACTAGTTTCATAATTTCTACATTTCTATACATTTCATGAACTGTTTTGTAAAGTAAATAACCAACGTTTATTGACGCACATAGGATTTAGATTTTATGATGCTGATTGTACAAGACAAGATCTCATTACCAATGATTGACAGAATGTGTAGAATTGATATCTACAGCGATTAAGACGCTCGCCGACCATGCACATGGTCCGGGGTTCGATCCCCGGCCACAGGACGCACTCCTTTACCTCGCTAAACCAGTATTAAGACTGGTAAAAAGGAAAGGTTGGGCATGAGGCTAGCAACCCCATCCTGTGAAAATAATCACCACTGCTACAGAAACTTCAAGCCACTAGCTTGAAGCCCTATGTTCCACTGGGGAACGTGAAGGAAATAAAAAAAATATCTACAATGTGACTAACATCTGTTGGATGCCATTTTTTTTGGACTTTTCTGTAGTTAATGAAACATACTTTCCTAGATAAATGTTATTACAAGAAAAACAGAATTTATGTATTGATGTTATAAATATCCTAACCTTTAAACAATTTACAGGTAAGTGTAGATGGACAGGAACTCTGGTTTTACTGCTCATGCCCACTGAATACCAATTAGTACATAATAAAGTTTGACACTGAGCGAATCACCAATTTTATGGAATCAATGACTCAGTACCCTTTCGTCCCTTTAGATAATGATAGTGACTAGTTAACCGAAATGAATACACTTCATTTCACTTGATACTTTCCTAATTGTTTTCATTTTTATTAAGGATCTTGGTAAATCGCGTGATAAAAAAGATAAATCTGGTCGGAATTCACCAGTTCCTGTAAAACCATCAACATCTGATGAAGCCACCAAAAACAAAAAATCAAATGAAAAGGAAATTAAATCATCTACACCTATTAAAGATACAATAACAAATAATGAAAATAAATCGAAAGTTAATAAAGAGCCAACAAAATCTGAAGAAAAGATCGATAAAAAGATTGAAATCATTCCTAAAACTGATGAGAAGAAAGAGAAAGTAGACAACAAACCAACAGCTAAACCAGTAGATAAAATAAATCCACCAATTGAAGTAAAAAAGGAATTACCACCACAACCAGTAGTATCATCCAATGAAAATCAAGTCAATTCATTACGTCTAATTGACAGAGCTAAACAAGGTACAAGTGATAAAGTTGATGACAAGAGTGCAACTTCTGCACTGATCAACTTTTTAACATTTCCAGCAGATAAAATAAACTCAAAAGACATTGAATCACCTTCAACAACAGTTCAATCAAAAGAAATAAAAGTAGAAAGTGATACAAATAAAAAAGAAAATGATCTTAAATCTCCTGGAATCATAAATAAACAAAATGATGAATTAAATAAAATACAGCCTACACCAACTACTAATCAACCTGCAGTCACAACAGCGGCAGCAGCAGTAGAAGCTCAAAGTAAACAGAATTTAATCGATAATCAAGTGAAAACGAGTAGTTCAACGTCACAACCACCAATAATTACCAATAAGACTCAAGATGTGCCTAGTACTGATAAAATCTCAAGTCAGAATTTACAGCCAGTAATTAAAAATCTTTCTGATACGCAAAATAAGCCAGATATTATTGTTGGGAAACAAGATGAAATTAAAGTCAAGACAGATGAAAATGATAAAAAGAAAATTGTTGGTCAAACTACCACACCAACTGTTAGTAAGTATCTATATTTTTAGATTATTATTTATTGCCTTGGGTTCCAGGTGGAACATTGGACTTCAACAGCTCATATTCATTTCATTCCATTATTTTTAGTCTTTTTTCAGCTGGCTTTACGATTGACCATTAGCTTTCATTTCCGTGTTGGACTCGAACTACTAAGCTAACTTGTCGTTTTCCATTGGTGTCCCACACGAGGGTTTGCCGTGTGATGACACTCAGCGGTCTTCTCAGTGTTTGTTCAATCTATCTCCATTTCCTTTCGCATACCTGTTGGGCCATAGCTTCTCGGTTGGTTTGTTGCCACAGTTCCGAATTGATTACCCTTTTTGGTCATCTGATCTTTAGTATGCAGCCACAGCAACTGTTGATAAAACTCTTTGCCTGCTGGAAATACTTTTCTAGACGCGCTAAGTCTCTGAAACGTACATAGGCACTGACTGATTTGAAATTGGTGTCGCAAAATTCAGATCTTGTTCTTTGTGCTAGGTACAATAGATTTCCATGCTGATTTCATACTCATGAAGGTCAGTCTTGTTTTTTCGATCTTGCTTGGCTGACTTTGACATCCTCCTCTGTACTGCCTGTAGTTTAAACGATGTTCACAAGTTGAGTGAACGTGGTGAATTCCTCTAGATTTCTCTCGTTGATGGTGATTGATACTTATTTATTTTTTATTTTTGATTACAGCTTGATTCCACACTGTATTTTTGGTACAAGTATGGAATTTTCAGCATGGATATCGGTAGCCCAAATTTTGCAGGCCGACCATAGATATCAAGGTGTGCGTCGGCGTGGGCTCGAACCCCGGACCATGTGCATGGTCGGTGAGAGTCCTAACCACTGTGCCACCGACGCACATACTTGTTGTTATCAGTTATGTATCATCATCACCTGTCTTCTCCACTCTCGCACTAATCACATTACTGAAAAATAAATCTAAATATTCCCTCAACATTGAATAAAATTTGAAATAATTGGATTTTTTACGTTGTAGAGTTTACGTTTTAGTTTTAAGTTGTAGCAGTTTAGTACAATAGTAGACTGATTTTCCTCTTTTACTTCGATTGCTGTTAATATGACTAAATAGTGTTGTGGTGTATGTTACTTATAAATACAGATGTGAGTAATATATAAAAGCGTCGGTGGCACGGCGGTAGCACGCTCGCCACCCACGTCCCATTTGGTCTGGAGTTCGATCCCCGGCCGACACAATCCTTTACATCACTAAGCCAGTAATAAGGCTGGTAAAGAGGGAAGGTTGAGCATGAGGCTAGCAATTCCATCCTGTAAAAAATGATTACCACTGTTACCGAAACTTCGAAGCTCTAGCTTGAAGCCCTATGTTCCACTGGGAACGTAACGGAATAAAAAACTTTCAAAAAATACATATGAAAGGCCACCTGGAGAAGTAGTGATAATTAATACGTTACTAGAAGCGTCACTGTAGATGGAATGTGCAATAGAAGATTACCATTAGAGATAAACGGTGAAGAACTAAGTTTCCTTAGTAGGAGATGTCTAATATTATTTGCAAATAGTAAAATTTCTTCAAGATTTAGTATTTTACCAGTCTTGGTTGCTATTTTGTGTCCAAACGATATTGTTCTCTAGAGCATAACTCCCAGTTTTAAGTAAAACTACCGTACATTAATGTGTTCTTCAAACAGTTTTGGCGGTCAAACTCACCTGTGAAGACATGTTTGTTTTTGGGGTATGAAACGATGAATACTTCGTTCGAATCTCCGTGGGAACATCATCTCTCACTGAGAAGGCAGGTATATCCAGATGACAAATCCCAAATAAGGTGAAATTCTCACCCCGAATTCCATTGCTAGTCATCATCAACCAGAAATAACAACGTGTTAACCCTCAGACATCTTCGAAGTGCCCGTACTAGCGACCAGCGTATCAAGAGACCAGAACTTTCTGTCCAATATAAGTGAATAACAGGAAATTCAAATGAGTTGGGGGATTTCATCATAAGCTGCCGTTAGCTAGAGAGCCATTGGAAAGCCTCCAAGGAGTACTGAACAGCTGTTTCTTCCTAGTTTGCGACTCTTCATCAGTACTCACTCACCAGGGTTCGAACCCAGCACCTTCTGGTTACAAGGCGATCCCGTAGACCACTAAGCCAGTAGGACGCAACTACTAGGGTGCAGCAGGTTAATGGTGAGGCACTTACATTGCGAAGTGGTCGCGCCATGTCATAAATTGGCAGAAGTTGGAATTCACGGTCTGGCCATTGTGGTGGTCTACGGGATCGCCTTGTAACCAGAAGGTCCTGGGTTCAAACCCCGGTGAGTGAGCACTGATGAAGAGTCGAAATATAGGACGAAACAGCTGTTCAATACTCTTTGGAGGTTTTCCAATAGTTTTCTAGCTGACATCAGCTCATGATGAAATCAAACAAAAAAATCCCTACAAAACCAACATTTGAAAGCACAAATTAATCTAGAAACAGAAGAGGAGAATGCTGTTTAAAAATCAGACACCAGCACTGAAATAATGTAATTTTTTCATATTACATATTCGTGAAATCGCTCCCCCACAGCATTTTACTCAACTCTAGTAAAGAGTAATTGGAATTAGAATTAAAATCATTGTTTATTTCTATTACTCTTTAAATGATTATCAAGCTACTAGCAATACTCTGATCCCGTCAAATATACCACAACCTGGTACACAAGTCAGGCTGGGACGAAGTGGTGTGATTACACGGTCTACAGATATACCGTCAACTTCTAACCAACTAAATGTAAGTTACTACATGCGTTTATTAATTCAGTTTTAATAACTATTTGTTATTGCATTAGAAACAATTAATCAGGAGGGAATATATTATAATTTATGGAATCAAAATGGGAAACGACACGTTGGGCGTTGAAGGTTGACATAGTGAAGATGATATGAGAAGAAAATGAAAACTTGCGGACAGTCACTGAGCTAGCTAAAAAAGAATTCAGACAACTGAGTATAATGAAGAAGCGCCATTGAAGCCCTACGTTAAACTTGGAACCCAAGGTTGTAATAATACTAATACAAAGGTATCATTCTGATTATATTCGTAGAATTATGCGAATAAGTCACAATATGAACAACTGAACACTTGTTTTAACTGAATGATAATTTATATATTTCCCCTATCGATTTTTTAGTTTCCTTTAAGGAGGCATTTTAGAGGATACAATGTGATCTAATGGCAACCGTCTCTTTCATGGTACACAACTCAGCTAAAGTATAACTGAATATAGTGTAAGGTGATGATCTAAAATACGCCTAAATTTATATCTTCAAGATATGGCAAAGTATATTGATAAGTCAGCTTATTGTAAATTGTATTGACTGTGCAATAACATTTCACTGCTAAGAAAGTGTTAATTTTGGAGGTAGATTCCTTCCAAAAGTATCGAATAGTCTGGTGTATTTGTCTTATTTTATTTATTGCCCAAACATTAGTGAATACCGTTGGCTCCTTTTTCGAATTCAGTAAACTAAATAAGTAAATGTACTATGTTCAGTGCAAGAAAGTGAAACTTGGACACACGTTAATCTCATTCCGTCATACACAAGTTATCACTACACTAAAGGAATAATTCTAGAAGTTGTTCTTTTCATATTATCACATGGTTCCTTTCGTTTTCTCTCTCTATTTTCTATAGTTTGGTTTGTAAGGATTAGTTATGTTTTTAAGAGTTGGTCACAGATTGATATCAGTCAGAGAACCATTGAAAACCAGGGAGTACTGGAAAGCTGCTGTTTCATCCTAGTTTGAGAATCATCGGCAGTACGCACCCATTATGTTTCTCATAATAATTTATTTTAAAAAGTTACTCAAAGTCTTTATAGATAACTAGTGCAAATAAGACAATGCCTGGAATTTATGTGTTTTGTTGCATAAAAGATAAATAATCACTCAAGTTTCTTTCTACTCCTTTGTGTTTCGAGTGGAACATAGGACCATAAGCTTGAAGCCTTGAAGTTTTAGTAGTCGCGTGGTGTTGTTTTCATGAAGTGGAGTTACTAACCTCCTGCTCAACCTCACCTCTTTTTCAGACTTGCTACTGCCTTCGCCGCCTGCTCCTTGACACCCACCAGCTCAGCGACGGCTTCGAAGTCGCGTAAGAAGCTCCGTATGTCTCCTTCTTCAAACGCAGCTGGCCACGGGATCTTCATTTTTTGGAGGCAGCGACACCAAATGTAACAACAGAAGACAAGGTCTGGCAACAGATCGTTTTATTACGGAAATCAACACGTATTTATATAAATTTCACAAACATTATTATAGCCTAGTCAAGTAGACAAACGCAGTCTTCTGACTGGTTGTTTTCGAGTGTGTCGGAAAGTGGAGTCATCTATCTGCGAATCATATTTGCCCACGTTTAAGTTTGCTGTGATTGATTGTTGAAACAGCCTTGTTCATATTTTCTCACGGCCAATATTAGTGACCTAGACATTGACGTAGATTAATGTCAACTAATCGGCTAGCAGCCTGCTCTCACCCCACCACTACTGAACGAAGTTAATCCGCTGAAATTATTACTAGAGATTTTTTAGTTAGTGTCTTGTTATACTTTTATATTTAATAGTTATCTGTGGCATGTTTTGTCATTCAGTATTCAGTTCACAGAAGCAAAATGAGCTGACGACAACTGTTGAGAAGGCGCTGACAGCCGACATCTCAGGCCTTATACTGAATGCATATATTAGTAATGTGGCTGTAAATTGATCATAGTAACGCGAATACATTCATTTTTCATCAGTATTACGGATATCCACCGTTCATTCTTCGTTCTTCTCCTTCGATCTTGTTCTTATCGTTTTGAGTATATATTTCTCATTTCAATGATTTCTTCTTTATGCTGTCAAAAAAATATGATTATTTGAGTAGTTACGCCCTAGTTCCAGCTACTCCTGTGTTTTCAGCTATCTATGTATCTATTTGTAGTACATCCCGATGTAAGGGAAAGCAATAAATTTCAGGGCGAACTTCGCCGAGGGTAAATATTACCTAGAGAATCATTATATATAAATATAAATATCTTCGTCACTCAGCATCAACAACAAAATTCAGTCGGATTTTCAATACAAGCGTCAAGTCAGTCAGTTCTTCTGTACGGATCAGAAACTTGGCGGGCGGGTCACAAAGAATATTTCCAACAGCCTGTTGCAGACCTTTATCAAACAACAACTGTCTTCGCTCTCTCTATACTGAAGATCAGATGGCCGGGCCGGAAGGAATCACCAACAATAAACTATGGGAACACACAAACAAAACAAGAAGCAATCACCAACCAACAAATATGCAGGAGAAAGTGGAGATGGATCGGACACTCGCTGAGAAGACCACTGGGTGACATCGCGCGTCAGGCCATTGCTCGAGTCGAACCCAATAGGGAAGCGGCGAGTGGGGGAGACCATTTGAAGAGGAGTTGAAAGAGTATGGACTAACATGGATGGCGGTGAAAAGTACAGCAGAAGACCGAAGCAAGTGGAGACGTGCAGTTGAAGCCCTATGTTCCACTAGGAATAATAACAATTAGAAGAATGTTCCGTCCTAGTCTAGAAGGATTAGAAAAGGAACACTCACAACACTATAGAGCTTAAAATCCAAAAACTAAGGGTTTTAGGCCAAGGAACTTAATATTCAGCGAATGACTCAAAATCCTTAACTCTAGACGTCTTGCGATACAGCTCCATCATCGGTACTAATTTCATCAGCGAGTAAATGTCTTCGCAATCAACTGGCTGGATTTCATAGAAAACTAAGTAGCAAAATTAATCACTAATTACACCTCAACTTTATTTTCTTCTGTAGATAAATCAACAATCCAATTCACCAAATTTAATAATTACCTCAGATAAAGGAGCAAAAAGATCTGTTATCGATCAGAAAGATTATCAAAAATATGATCCAACTCAAAAACCGGATCCATGCAGACCAACACTTTTCTCAGCAATAGATCTAAAACATTCTGGGTAAGTTATACATATATATATTCGACTGTGTTACACAACTATGTAGATGACATTGAAATAATGTAGTTATTGCGATGTTACTATCTGAAATAACAATAATGATTAATTTATGTTTTGTGTCTATTATGACACGATAAAGAAAGACTTAGTTTCTGAAAGGATTTGTTTCCAATGCATAATTCCAGTTGCATGACTTTACTTATTACATCGAAAGAGGAGCAGTCCAGTCTAAGGAGGCAGTCGTGTATTCTTTTTACAACTAATAATAATAAAAATAATGATATGATAATTACTAAAATCATTACTGCTACTATTATTACAAATACTAATATTTTATTGATCTCATTCTTTGGTCTACGCCTATGCATGCAAGATTCCTGCTTTTTAACAATTACTGAAATGACATATCAGTATAGTTGAAAGAATTATTACTCCCTAAGAGTCTGGAACTAGCATCAGATATTGTGTCAGATAAATTAATATTTCAGCTGGTAGAAATCAGTATCTTGTTGCTTAGTACTTAATGTTGGCAAAATTCCTTCCACCATTTTACACTACAGCTATCAGTCTGAATAATATAACAGTGATTATTTATCAGTCGCAAATCGATAAGAGTAATACAGTGCCACAGGATGTTCACCATTGAGTAACTCCGTTGCAATATCAATGACTGTAGTCTATATTGATGCTGGCTTTGTTTCTGTAGAAACTTTAGTGCCATTGAGTTTTCGTTCATTGATGCTAAGAATCCCCATGCTGACATCAGTCAGACGTATGCTAAGATGATCAGTTTACCCTGAACAAGATAGATGGTGTTTGTTGTGTACTGGGAGGCAAATAACATAATGATAGTTATCTTCCAGAAGGAGCAATCTATGCATTATTGATAGGTGACCATAAATTTAAGTCGATGGTTATTATTCAGTCCTTCTACAAATCTTCAACCCAATGATATTGGAGCATAGTCAAGACTGTAAAATGGTTAATTACACTTGAGATCATGTTCTAAAAATAAATCATAGAATTATTCACTGCATTTTAATCAACATAAGAAATCTGTTTCTCGGTTTCATTCTTAACTACTGATAAGTAGCGTGAGTTTAACGAAAGTTTAATCTTCATCGAAGTAATAAAAACATTTCATTTAAATAACATTATAATAAACAATAAGACAGTTTATTAAAATTCACTGTCATATGCTTCAATCGGTAGGCATACTATCTCCCAAAGTATATTAACTGTAGAACCACAGCATAAGGGAACGGACATAACCCAATCAGTTAATTGTACAGTGTCCTCCGGATAATGTATATTGAATAGTTCGTAAATTTTAATTCTTAATATCTGATTAGTATTAAGGCTTTACTCTTGTCATTTTTACTATGATTCATTTTGTCAAATTTCAGATTAGGTTATTGATATGTATCCACATATATATATGTGTGTGTATGGTGATCTCTCTTTCTGTTTGCTCGCTTAATCTGTGACCATTTCACTTTGATGAACCTGTCTCCTTAACAATGTATATTCCCCTTATATTATATATAATATGAGTGTTTGTTGACAGTCCGTTGCTTGGTGACATATATCCATATATGGTGGTTGTTGACATGTCTGCTATATTTTGCTATGCATATTTGGATCGACACTCCATTATAATTAGCCATTCATGTTAAGACTGTCTAATGATTGTTCACACACTTGTCTGGACATTCATATATATTTCGCTCTCACAATCTTGTGTGACACTTTGGTGTGATACCACTTTTGCATTCTCCTTGTGTTTGGAAAATAGAAGTATCATCGCAAACCTTAGTGGTCTTCTGATTTCCGCCTTCTTGCGTCAGGACTATTACATTCTCGACCAGCACATAACAATAATATGGCGACGAGTACATAACAGTTATGTCTACAATACCCATTTGAAAATTACTGTACAATGAATAAATAATTTTTGTTATTATAATTATATTTATTGTATTCCTCACACTATCTACTCCATGTTGCCCTCGAAGAGACGACTCACTTGTGGTTTTCCATTCCATTTCCACTCGAGCGATGAACTGGCGCGATGTAATTTGACGGCCTCTCCATCGTATGCCCTATCCATCTCCATTTCCCCTACATATTTGTTGAGCAATCAGCTCTTGGTTGGTTTGTTCCACTGCAGAGTTTCTTGTTACTAATTCTTTCTGGCCAGCCGGCTACTTGATCTTCAATTTAGAGCCAGAAAGGGTGGCAGCTGTTTATAAAAGTGTGAAGTAGCTTGTTGGAAATGCTTTCCGTGACGTGTGCACCAGGTTCCCCACACATATAGAAAAATTGACTGACTTCACATTTGTGTTGAAAATCCGATTCTTGTTCTTTATGCTGGCTGAGATAGTGCAGAAAACTTCCAAACTGGTTTCAGGTTGATGAAGGCTTACCTTGCCTTTCTGGCTGGTTTTCACATCTTCATCCGTTCCGCTGGCTGTGGTTGAAATGATGCTGGATGTCTAGATAAGTGGAGGATGTAACCTGTTTCAAGTTTCTCCTATTGATCGGGATTGGTGCAGGTTGTTATTGCTGTTTCTGTTGGTTGGTTATCTCCATGACCTTGTTTATCTTCGCTGCCAGCCTCTCCATGAAATCCTTGACAGTTAAACTGAGTCAGGTAGGGAGATGCAGACTCCCGGGTTGGGGCCCTCGGGACTCTAGGAATCAATGGCTGGAGACAGTAGGTGACATGGCTCAAAATCGTTGTCAATGGCGCAGATGTATTCAGTCTCTGTAATCTTTCATATTCCTTTCTACAATTACCCATTCTGTTTCACTCTTATATTTGTCTAACTCTATTGATTCTCTTCACTCATCTTCTTGTCTACCTTGTGTGCCAATTGGAACGTGGCAACTCGAACTGGTGCACTTCGGTGCCAAGTTCTATGTTGAATCCAGACAGACAGACTCTGTTATAAACTGCACATATTTCTTAGATATTAGTATCTGTTGTTTAATGTAGGCTATTCTCAGAACTTAACACAGAAATAAAAATGACGAGACTGAAATCTGCATAAACGATCATGTTTATCAACATTTCAAGGTACGAAAGTAACTTTTCCGACAACTTGATAATATATTAAGTAAATGTTGGAATGTTAAGTAGTTGGCAAGAGCTTTCTTTTACTTCTAAGACTACGTAATACTCCATAAAATAGTCAAAAAGTGAAACACCATGAAATCCATAGTAACTGCATGACTTCAAACTACTTATGATATTCATTTCCAAAAATGAATAGAACTCGCAATTTCTATTTATTGAGCTGTCTAATGATACATAGAACAGAATTAGTTCAACGCTTGTTAGCAATATCAGGAAAATCCTACTTCCTCCAGATCAGATTATATTCTGATATCTACGACTAATAGTAATTAATATCTGAATATCTCATTTAATTTTCACATCTCTTTACAGTTTCGCTGATGCTGAAACTATTGAAAATTGTTGGAATAAACTTGGTGTTCCAGATGTTGAAGATCTACTTTCAGTAAGTATTAAATGTCAGATTTTGTATCTATTACATTGTTAGTTGTCAGTAGTTACAAATCTCATGTCCTTTTGATGATGATAGTTATCATAATAGCTTTATTTAGAATTGTATTTGAATTTAAAAGTTTGGGTACGGAACACTGTTCTACTGGACAAGTAATTGGTTTAAACAAAATGATGGGCGGGAATATTGAAATGTGTTCTAAGTACTTTACTACTATATTGTATTTCGATAAACGGCGAAATCGTCTACTTATTCTTGAGTTGTCTCCTGTCTCAAAAGGGTGAAGTTAATAAGACTATTAAAGCGCAAAAATTTCTCCAGACCCAGACTAATACAGTTTTTCTAAAATAAGAAATCTAGAGGAAAGTCCAGCTGTAGTACTACCACATGCACAAGCAAAACTATACAATGGGATTGGACTAAGTATAAATCTTATGTTTTAATTTATCAGGGTTCACAGAGTGATCGGTAGTAGAATCTTTTACTTAACAAATCACCGCAAAATGTGCGTGGAATGGAAATCATTCAACACTGGTTAAAGAAATCTTATCCTCCCAGGTTTTCCAATAGTTCTTTAACTGATGTCAGCTCATCATGAAATCCTTCAACTAATCAAATAACATCCTTACAAAAACCAGTACTTGAAAAAGGACATCTGAAAAAATTGCGCTATTCCTTGGATGGGAACAAGAACAATGAAAACCAAGTTTCATAATTGTGTGGTGTAAAATGCTCAACAATCACCTTCATGGTCAAGCTTTTGTTCTTCAGTCCACGAACTCTTAAACCTCACACAATTTACTAGCCGGTAGTAAGCCAGGAAAATAGGGAAAGTTGGGCATGAGACTAGCAACTCTACAACCGTAATAACAACACTGTTACTGAAACATTAAAAATCCAAGCCTGAATCCATATGTTCCACTCATAGCTCAAAGGAATGAGAAAGTAATAGTTTTGACGTTACATTCAATATGACTAGAAAAAATTAATTGTTTAACATATTCAATACAGAATCGCATATTGATGTATTGACTAAGTTCTAGTCTTAAATTCAAGGACGACCTTGAATGGTATTTGAAGTATAACTAGAAGAAAGACACTGGAAGACGAAAAAGCTTTCTTACAGCAAAATCAAATAAAGCGAGTTAATGAGAGGCTAAATGTATTAATGAATCAATCTTATCACTAATATTAAGCAGATATTAACGAAGCTAATAAATTAAAACTGTAAAATAAATGTATCATTAGTCCATCTCATTGAAATGATTCAACAAACAAGCTGATTGGTGAGTCAGCCGTTCATGCTGATGTCTTTGACAGACTAATATAACAGAAAATTTCAATGACGTTAGCAATGGCTCTAGACCTCAAACGTATTCTCTTCGTTTTGATTTTTGGTAGTTTTTTCATAACTGTTACAGTAGTATGTTAACGTTAGTGAGTAATATCACGTAGCATAATATCTAACTTTTCATCACGGAATCCACGAAACCTAGACAGCTTAAACCGCCAACACTTTCTGCTCCCAAAAAGCGTTTCTACTTGAATCTACAATTCAACGGAGATTCATCAGCAGAAATACTGAAAAACTGTCTATCCCGCTTACTGAAGAAAACCTTCGTGGCTGAATTTTGACCAATCTTCTCTACGAAATCAATGATTCGCATGAACGTGAAGTATAAGCTACCACTGTTAACCTCATAAAAGTGCATTTACCAATTCACCTGCTCGTATGGAGCTAGGTATGTCGGCCATACCCAGCGTTTGCTATCCAAACGTATCATCGAACACTTACCCTCATAGTTTTATAAAGGGGGAAAAAGGTCCCCCCGAAGCTATATTCTGGAACATCTGATCGGATCAGGACACCAAGCAACCTACGAAACATCTTCAATGTTATCTACATAATACGTGAGAATCTTGCTAAAAGAGTACTAATCAAACTTCTTCAAACCGCAGAAGCAATGGCAATGCACATCTTAAAACCTGAACTCTGCATGCAAAAGAAGTTTGTTCAGTCATTAAATCTACAATGGACCTGACGTATCTTAACACCAAATACTTAATTTTTGGTTTTTGTTTCTTAATTGTATTATTTTCTTCCCCCAACCCCGATTAAATCTCTACCCCTTATTCCCAGTATAGTTAACTTGACTCTTGTTCAAATTTTAGTCGAATTACACTCAGCAGCGTCAGTTATATTGCGTCAATCAACCTACTTATTTAATTTTATTCTAGTTTCTACCCGATTACTGCTTTCTGCGTTGAGTGTTTTGTTATGTAAAATTTACAATTCTATAAAATTATACTTGTAAAATCTCAGCGAAATTGAAATGATTAATTCCAATGTTTCGTTCGGCACAGTTCATATGAATTTACAGTTCTAATTACACATCTTTGGAAAATTTCTTTGGTTTCTAAGACAGTTTACTGTATGTATGCCATTATACATCCTGAGAATGATATCGCCGAAAAGAGTATCTCTTCTCTGAATGCCTTTTCTTTTATATGACTCAATGGGGATTTTCAAGTAGATATCTAATATTACCGATGGATCAAATAATCATTATCACATGAGATAAATAAAGACTACCTCGCATAATAAGTACTACTCAAAGAATTCTTAATTTTGGAAATCCCTTAAAGGATTGCTCTTTTATGCTCCAAGTCTTCAGGGTCATGAACTAGAAGTAACTAGTAAAATAATTATAAATCACCACTTTGTCTTGGCGTAAGCAAACATAACATTACTTGTGGCCGAAAATGGAACCAGTAGGTTTGATTGTGAGTTATTTATCACTTTAAAACTCTGTATATGAAAGCATAATTCTGTCTAGTCAATAAGTAAGGGAGAATTAATGTTATTGTGAATGTACATCATCTGCTAAGTACTAAGTTCAGTAGAGGTCACTTGTGACCCCATAGAGAATATAACTCAGCTGTACAGTGCTCTGCTCTGCCATGTCCGACGTTATTCAGATGCCCATCGATGGCATTGGCTGACGGTGAATTTATATCATTAATAAACAAAAGTTGGAATTCACGAGTTGCAGAACCCCACCCAGAAGATTAATGGTCAATAAGCACACATTGTAACCTGAAAACCCTGAGTTCGATTACTGACGAGGTCACTGAAAATTCCCAAACTAGGAAGAAACACTTATCCAATGCTGCACGGTCCGATGATTCTCTTGATGATTTCTTTTCGTGACAAAATCTACATTGAGATAGATCAAAATCCCTTCAAAACCCGAAGTTTGAATATATTTCAACACAAATGTGATAGAAAATATTTTTTTAATGGGGAAACATACACGTATAAGTCCACAGGAAAGAATCAATGCATTTTTAGTTAATCTAACTTTTGATTCTAAAGTCAAAACATTGTTTATAGGGTGAATTGTAGTTTAATATAAATGACCTAGAAAATCAAATGATGTCTGGGCCAAAGAATTTTAATGCATAGCAAAATATCTATAAAATAATAAAATCTACACAATTTTTGAATTATTTTCTACAGGTGGTTTTGTTTTCTTTCTGATAAAATCTACCATTGTTATTGATTAGCGTTTAGATTTGGATGAATTTTACTACACGTGAAAGCGGTTGAATTTTTCTGATAATCTGATAAGCTTGCGTGTAGTAGTCTGAGAGTTATGTATATGGGAAGAAGTGTATGCAAGTTCGTGTGTTTTATTTATGCCAATACAAGAATTTCAAGTAAAAAGGCAATTTGATAGCTTACCAAGTACATAGAATCTTTTAAAACTTGATAATGAGAACAAATTGGTGGATGAAGTTGATTTTTTGTTCTATTCGTTTACTCTCTGAGTGAAACACAAGGCATCAAGCTTTGAAGTTTCGTTAGTGACGTCCTTGTTTCATGTTGCTGGAGTCGTTAACCTCACATCCAAGCTTCCTTTTTCTCTTGTGCTTACTACCGTCAAGTAAATTAGGAGAAGTTGAAGTACGTCGAATGGAGAACGAAAAGCGGACTTTCCACGTAGGTAACGAGTCTGGCTGACTGGTTTCAACGTAGAACTTTGCACAGATGTACAGCAGTTTGAGTTACCATACTCCATGTATCACACAAAGCCAGAAAAGATAGTTAAGAGAGATTCAAAACACAGATAACAAACGGAGATATGAGGCAAAAAGAATAGTAATATGAAAGAAAAATAGAATTTTATTGGATCTGATAAATCACAAAGAGTGAATGCATCTGCGCCAGCCATTGAGGACGAGGATTTTGAGCCATATCACCAAATGTCTCCAGCTGTCATTGGGTTTTACCCCTGCTAGGACCCTTACCAGTGAGGAAGTCCCCACTTCCCCATGTGGCCGGCTGAAAATAACTGTTGTGAATTTCATTGACTGATAAAGCCATGTTATGGTTTGACCACCACTACCTCTTTTCCAACCTGATCGATCATATATCAGTCAGCTAACATTGCTCATTGTTAAGGAAGGCGATGGCTAGGCATGCATGCATGACACATTTCCTAACCATCTCAGTCGGTGCAACTTCGCAACCTCATCTATTGATTTCTCCTCCTTACTTCCCACTCAACGTCTAACCTCAGTATTCTGCATTCAACCAATAAAGTTTTTAACATATAAATAAGGAGGAGGAATTTAGAAATCAAGAATGAATATGTTTAATTCAATTTTAGATTTTCCCGTCGATTGATTGGACCGAAGTGCTTGGTCTCAGGCTGATATGTCGGCTTCTTGACCAGATGCTTCGACGATGTCTGGGAATGTAATTCGAAGTTAATTGGTAAATGGCGACTAGCAGTGGAATCCAGGATGCGCATTTCATCCTATTTGGACCCCGTCATCTGGATGTGTCTGCATTCCGCAGTAAGTGATAATGTTCCCACCGAGGCTCGAACCCAGTGGGTACATCCAGTTGACGAGTCCCAAATAGGACAAAATGCGCATCCTGGAACCCACTGCTAGTCACCATCCATCAATTAACTAAGATTAAATATAGTTTGAGTAATATTTTGAAATGCACTAAAAATGGACTAAATCAATTTTGAAACTTCCAGTGATAAAATGTTTTAACATAGTTAGAATTTTTTATTTATTTTTTATTTTTGATTACAGCTTGATTCCACACTGTATTTTTGGTACAAGTATGGAATTCTCAGCGTGGTTATCGGTAGCCCAAGTTTCACAGGCCGACCATAGATATCAGGTGTGCGTCGGCGTGGGCTCGAACCCCGGACCATGTGCATGGTCGGCGAGAGTCCTAACCACTGTACCACCGACGCTGAGTAGTAACAGCTTGGTTGAAAACAGATTTTTAAATGATGTTTGATTTGTGCGTAAATTAATCTACCAAAAAAATCATTTAAATCCTTATAAGTACAACATTCATATTTTTATTTCCTTTTTTTATGTTACCAAAAACAACAACAACAACAAAATTCTCATTTACAGTATTTAGGTTTTTCTAAACATGGTATAATAAATCTTGATCATTTAACAAAAGCATTACATGAAGCCTTAGAGATGCATACTTATGATGAACCAAGTGTACTAGCAGGTATTCGTTCAATGAATATGGAATTACGTTTAACAGAGTAAGTTGTAATGATAATATTTCTACTGCATTATTTTGTAAGAAAAAGGGATTTTTATAATTAAAAATATTTGAACGTTTCCTTCTTTCAATTGACTGATAAAAAATATCGGTTACAGGGTTCCATCATAAGCTGACAACGGTTAAAGAACTATTGGAAAACCTGGTATTACTGCACAGCTGTTTCGTCAGCCTAGTTTGGGACTTTGCAGCAGTAAGTGCTCACTGAGGCTCCAACTCAGGACCTTCTGGTTACAAGGCTAGCGAGCTGGTAGACCATTAAGCAACTGGGACGCGTTGCAATGGCCAGTTCATGAATTCCAAGTTCTGCCAATCCATGGCATATGGCGACCACTAGACAATGTCTTCGGCGAGTATTTGTCCTCACGCCCGACCTTCTGTGCTCTAATGGTTACTACTTCCCACTAGGACTTCAAGTAACTACCCACCTGTATACGGCAGTCGCTAGTGAGCGCTGGGTGCCTACTGATGAAGAGTCCTAATTTCCAATGGTTTTCTAACCGATCTCAGTTCATGATGAAATCCTGTGAACAGTCAATCAAATTTCTACAAAACAATACTTTAGTAATAAATATCGATTTATGGGAGTAATCTAGAGTAATATCACCAAATTTCATTCAAGTTTGTTGATGGAATTTTGTCATATGTGAAAAAATTCAGCAACTCACTGATATGTTACATTGTGTATTGAATGTCTGAAAAAAATTACAAACAAGAGAAAATTAATTCATCTAATTTTTTTAAAATACCCGTAATTAAATTTTACCAATCTCCAGCCCATCAGTGGCTACTGGATGGATGTCTTGAAGCCGTACTGAGAGGTTATGGTCAGTGAGGTCCACCATGCTAAGGCGAAGTGGACGCTCATTGAAAGCATTGCTTGATCGCAGCTCTATAACGCGCATTGACAGGTTTTAGAATCTTATGATTCGTTCAGTCCCCGCTCAAGTGGGCGAATAGCCAACGAGCCTGGTCTTGTATTTTGATTGTCCCTGGTTCGATTATAGATGAGGTCGTGGGTACGTACTGATGAAGATTGCCACACTAAAACGAAACAGCTGTCCATTGCTCTGTAGTTTTCAACGATCTTTAATTAATGCTAGTTCGTGACCATACCAACATTGAAATTCCTACAGTATTCAAACAACGTATTCCTATGATCATCTTTATCAAAGTAAAATGAAAGCAAGATCTGAATTGTAAAGTTAAAGCATTTTTAAAAATTCGAGGCTATTCATTCTACAGTTGCAGACAGTTTGAAATATGCATACATACGTTATTATTTGCTGTAGCATTTATCAACAAAAGGCATTAGTGCAAGACATGACTGGTAAGATTCAACTCTTTCAAAATGAAGTACAATTTTTTTTAGAAAAACCTTTTTTTGTCTTTTACTTTAATTCTAAGAAATGTTATTTCATAACACTGGTGAACATATGTTTTACTGTATCAAAATACAATGTCCAATTCGGAAGATTTATTAGTATTATGTATGTGCGTCTGTCAGCAAGAAACCTTTTTACACTCACACGCTGTGTATATATGTATGCATACATAGTTTTAGAAAATATAAGGTTCATAACAAGAATGAAACTTGAGTTTTGTCAAAATCCAAACCAGAAGTCAGCTTTTGTGTGGATAGAAACGTAAACTTCACTTCTGTGAAAGGATGATTGAAATCCAGCATGGCTACGGTTGTCATCCTCATGAAATATGTAAAATACAACAGTTTCCATGATCTATTATGATCAATTTCCGGGTGAAAATTTTAAGTTTGTAAATATGTACAGTGAAAATAGTACACTCGGTTTTCTTTAAAGTTGATTACTGTGACCTTGAGAGCTTTCATAATCTCTCCCATTCCCACCTCAATTCAAACAACCAGGCTAAATGAATGCCCTGAAGAATTGTCTTCTTGAAATTTAGGACAGTATTTATTGTCTTATATAAAAAATATATAAGTGATTCAGTGTTCTTATCTACAAATTGATAAAACATTGGTAATTAATGTATATTTATTGATTTTAAGGCAAGTTGATGTCGTGTTTTTCATGTGGGTCAAAGTTCTGTAATAGAGTGCTCTCCAATCAAGCAAGTGATTCGTGTTCAACTCGCAGTCTACGAATTCCTAAACCTCACTTAGCTTAGAGCTTGAGGCCGTATATTCCACTCGTGACGCAAACGAATGTAAAAGCATTATCTGTTTACTCATTTTAAGGCAAGTTACATCATAAACAGATGTCGCCAAAAGTGTAACAGTGAGTATTAATAAGGGTTCAACACTAGGTCTTTTGTAATTTTTTGAATACCTAACAGTGAATACTTATGGTGCATTAAATATACTATAGCTGTTAGGAGTCACAGAGATAGTATTACCATTTAAACACTAGACTAGATGGCTGTGGCCTGGGTATTTCAATTATTATCCATTCTCAATGACATTAGATGGAAACCACACATGAATGGTAATGACTTCTCTGAGATTAATTTTGTTGGGGAGTGGTTGATATGTATCCACATATATATTTTGTGTGTGTTTTCTCTTTCCTTGTTTTTTCTATATCCTATTATATAATGGTTTAAATATATATGTATTTATTCTTTATATATTATTTTCACCTTATATATATTCCTCCATTGTGATTGTGACTTCGTTTAAAATCATGTTTTCCCTTGTATCAAAAAATGGAAGTGGTATGCTTGCATTGCTAGCGAATTCCAAATTTATATAGACAAGTTATCACCATTATAACCTGACTTTCAATAATTCTTTTATTGATATCAATTTGTAACAGTGTTCACCTTAGTTTGAATCAATTCTTCTCAACTTTATGCTTATCCGTTTGTCTAGTGCATTAAAAAATGCTTATGAAAAAGAAATTGAAAAATTAGACAAAAATCTTATCAATGAACGTGAAGTGATTCTACGTTATTTTCATCAACATTTAAATGAAATACGTCAAAAAATGGATATTTTATTTAGTCAAAAAGAAGTCGAAATCAAACAAATTCAACAGGTAAGTTTATCTTATGTCTTTAGAGATCTGGCAGTTTTTTATCTTTTAACATTACTGTTATTATTCCTCTGGCTTTCGAGAAGACCATATGGCTACAGCAGAAGATCTTCATTTCACTGTCTTCTTTGCAGTCTTTTTAGATGGCTACAAAATTGCTCATAAGGTTTAATCTCCTCCTCATATGATATCCTCCGTATTACCCTCATTCTCACACCCAACTCGTATATTCTTATATGGTGCGGGATATCATCGAGCAGTCTACTCAGCTTAAATCCAATAAGTCTCCATTTTCTGGAGCATATATCTTGAACCAGCCATAGGTTCTTGGTTGGTTCATTACCAGAGCTTCTAGCCGTTTATGATTTCTGTTCATCTAATCTTCAATGTCGAGCAAGGGCAGAGGCTGCCGAGACTCTACAGTAGCCTGTCAAAAAAGCTTTGCGTGACGCTGGCGCCAAGTCACTGAACCATACAGAAGCAATAACTTAACATTACTTTTGAAAATTAGGATCACTGTTCTTGTACTAAATGCAGAAGACCTCTACACTGATTTCAGATTAATAGACGCCTGTTTTCCTTTCCCGATCCTACATCTTCATCAGTGCCGCTGCTTGTAGTTGAAACGATGCCCCCAGGTAAGTAGATGAAAGAGATGGCTTCTCTTAGATTTCTTTCGTTGATGGTGATTGGTGCTTGTTGTTGTTCGCCAGTAGGGTACCTTCATTACCTCTATCTTCTCCACGTTCACGTGGAATCCTATCTTTGCTGTCTATTCTGCCGACTTGTTGGGTTTCGACTGTAGATCTTCAAGTTCGTGAGACTCGAAATAGATGGTTCGCAAAGTTCAAATCTTATAAAGTCATTTGTCAGTCCTATGTATGCCCGTCTTTTCGCTCTCAAACGTCTGTTACGTGATCCAGCCCACCACATTCAGGGACACCTTGAGTATTATTAGGTGGTCTCGTTTCGGTCCCCTCTTTACTAGCAGGGCCTCATTGAGCCTTCCGTTGTGAGTCCTTTAGCATTATCATACCATCGTCATATGTTAACATGATAAGGTTAGATCAAAAAAGGGAATCAGTCAATAATTACTGACCAATAGAAGTGTCCCAAGGTCAAATCTGGCAATATGTGTTTTGTGTGGTAATTAGGAGTGATCATGGACATCTAATTGTGAGTATTGTCTACACAAATTGACACTGAGTGAGTAAGTTATTAGTTATTCACTTAATGTGGAAATTCTGAATTAGTAATCAAAAGTTATTCCATCTGTAACATGTTAATCAGCTTTAATTCCACCATTTACTCATCATCTGGAAACACATTTAGAGATAGTTTATGTAACTTCGACTTTTTTAAGTGAAGAAAAATCCAAAGTAAGTCTTTTGAACATGCATATAAAGGCTTAGAAATGAGTTAGGTTTGTTGCAAACACTTTGTCGACATAGTCATTGATCTCCTTACTTCTTCATATAGGTATAAATCTGAGACAGAAAATGGCATTTTCTAAATTCAAAAAAATTAGTTCCCTTTATGAATTTAGACAAAGCAATAAGAAGACGTAATTTTTGTGAATCGTGTAATTTATTATTAAGGTGCCTCTTCAGTCGAATCCAACGAATATGCACTGAAGGCAACCTCGGTGAGGAAGAAAAAAGTTGATACAAACTCTGGTTGATAATTTTTATCCAGACAAGTTCATTAGGAGATATAAAGTAGTCAGAACACCAAGATCCAGTCTCCAACTCACCGCTATGAAAGATGTATATATCGAGCTACCATTGTGGTGAGAGCAGGCTGCTAGCCGATTGGTTGGCACTAATCTACGTTAAGGTCTAGGTCACTAATATGGGCCGTGAGAAAATATGAACAAGCCTGAGTCAACAACCAATCACAGCAAAGTTAACGTGGCAAAATGTGATTCGCAGAGAGAACTCTATTTGTCAAGGAATCCCGAAACAACCAATCAGAAGCCTGCGTTTGTCTACCTAAACAACCAATCAGATGACTGCGCTTGTCTATAATAATGTAGTTGAAAGATGTATAAATACGTGTTGATTTTCATAATAAAACGATCTGTTGCCTGGCCCTTGTCTTCTGTTGTTACATTTGGTGTCGCTGCCTACCGACAAATGAAAAGCCTATACCCTGCAGTTTTTGATGGAGACATATGGATCTTCGGGCAGGACTTCAAGGCTTCTGCGCAGTTGAGTGGCGTTCAAGATCTGTCAGCGATGGAGCTGCTACTTGGGACGCTGCTGGGAGGTCGGGTGAAAGCAGCATATGAAAGTGTGAGCCGAAGTATGGACGAATGTTCGACAGGGTCAGGCAAACAGTTTCCAAAGTGGGAAGGACCATATATGGTCACTTCGAGATGGGGTTACGCAGACACAGTCGCAATGGCGAACAATGAGAGGCGCGTGAACGTCAGCGAGCTCCAGAAATGGATACAGCGAGACAAGCCAACGATGACGCCTGCACCAAGTAGATCAAGCCGACTTCAGTCGCACGTATTTGACGGGGGGACGAGTGTGGTGAGAGCAGGCTGCTAGCCGATTGGTTGGCACTAATCTACGTTAAGGTCTAGGTCACTAATATGGGCCGTGAGAAAATATGAACAAGCCTGAGTCAACAACCAATCACAGCAAAGTTAACGTGGCAAAATGTGATTCGCAGAGAGAACTCTATTTGTCAAGAATCCCGAAACAACCAATCAGAAGCCTGCGTTTGTCTACCTAAACAACCAATCAGATGACTGCGCTTGTCTATAATAATGTAGTTGAAAGATGTATAAATACGTGTTGATTTTCATAATAAAACGATCTGTTGCCTGGCCCTTGTCTTCTGTTGTTACACCATATACGGGTGATCATAGCAGCTTGACAACCAGACAAAGACTAAACACTGCGGTTAAAAAGACTTTTTATGTGGCTAGGATGATAATGTGAATGTGAAATCGATATATCCATCTAAACCCTTAAACATGAGAAAAATGATGTCACATCCCACTGTATTTACCAATTTGAATGTACATATGGACAGGCATACATGGGAAGAACTTATCAATCTCTGTAAGTAAGGGTTTCGGCGCATATTCTCAATGGCTTCAGAAGCAAATAAAATCCCCAGAAGCCATTAATGGTGAGAACAGACGATCTAGCTCCTCTATTGCGAAATATATTACAGAGACAAGAGATAAAATTGATGTTTACAAGTCTTTTGAACTTATCTATAGAACGTGTTTGGGGCGTATCCTAAAGTTTGTGGAAGCCCTAGTAATTAGGAAGTTTAAACCACCTCTATGCGTTCCTTCATCATCACACTAAACCTTCCTTGGTAAACTTTGTTTTGATACCAGCCAGGGTAGATGCACTGTTACCTCTGTTAACTAGTTTAGTGGTCTTCATTGTTATTTCGACCTTCAGTATGTCCTTTTAACTTGACCTAAATTTATTTTTCCACCTCTTGACTCTTTATTAATTTCATATATATTCCTACGACAAGCCCGTGTGTGATCAGATTGTTTGAAATGTGTCGCGTAAATACATTACACGATTCAGACAAATTACGTCTTCTTATCGACTTTCTAAATCTTCAAATTATCCTTCGTATAAAATTTCTAACAAACACAAAGGCTATTTTAAAATAGGCGCTTGCTTGCGATCAGAGTTCAGTGTTTAATAAGCAGCTTTCCTCAACGAAGTTGGATACTAATGATAATAATTAAGTAATATTCAGTTATTATTTCATGAATTGCAAAGATGTTGATTTCAAGATATATTCCGATGAGAATTGAAGCGAAACGTATTCTTAACCATGTTTCATTAGGTCGATATTTATCTCTAGTTTGAACCCCAATTCGAATGGAAAATTCCCACAATGAGTCATATAAGGGAGATATACACAGAGAAATTTTCTTTTTGACGAATCCTTTTCAATGACTTTTTAGCGTACTTATATTTAACATAAAATTAATAAAAACAGTCAGACACTAGTCACTTTGTTCTAGAAAATGTTTTACATAATATGTGGTGTAAGCTAGAAGGTGATGATTAAATCGAGATCACAAACACAAGGCAGAAGTTGAAATGATGTTGTGATGAGAGCTAGCTGCAAGCCAAAAATTGTAGACAGCAGTTTAAGTCAGTGTTAAATTCCAAATCGGGGTCAGTATTATTATTATTATATCCTTTAATTCCTAGAGAAACATAGGGTTTAAGCTGCGCGTCTACATTGCCTTCGGTTTTCTGCCAACTTTTTCACTCCGCTCCAAGTCTGCTCACATGCTTTCATCTCCTCTTCACATGACCTCCTTCAAGTCACCCTTGCACTTACGACCAACTCGCCGCTTCCCACTCAGTCGGGTTCTACTCGAGCGATGGCTTGTCTAGTGATGTCACTTGATGGTTTGTCTTTTCAGAGTATGACCGGCCAATCCATCTCCATTTCTTCCTGCCTATTTGTTTCACAATCGGTTCCTGCTGTGTTGGTTCGCTGATTGCCAGAGATCCCTGTTGCTGATCTTTTCTGGCCGGCCATCTGATCTTGAGTATTGAGCGAAGACAACTGTTAATGAAGGTCTGAAGTTTTCTTGAGATTCTCTTTATGACACACCAAGTCTTTGATCCGTATAGTAGCAGGTTCATGTCTCGGGGTCATGGGAAAAAACAATAACAAAGCTTAACCTCGGGGGTCTCATCAACCAATTACAGCAGACTTAACGTGTGCAAGTACGATTCACAGATACATGACTTAGCTTTCTAAGGAACGGATACAAGCAGAAGAGAATAACCTTCAACAAGAAAACAACTAATCAGAAGACGTTGCTTCTCCACTTACAATAATCTACATAAAAATCTATAAATATCTGTTGATTTTTCTCAATAAATGATAGGTTGCCTCTCTATTGTCTTCTGTCGTTACAGTGCAGTAAGTGCGAGAAATGACTAATCAGGGTAAATGTACAAAGTGGACGAAAACTAAAGAAAAGATGGTAAAATGTTCATATATAATGTTTATTACAAATGCAATATTGTTAATAAACAACAATAGTGATTGTAAAGTAATAGCAATAATAGTAAAACTTTGACAATAAAAGGAAACAAAACCATAGTAAGAACATTACCTTAGCCGACGTAAGGCGAGTGAATGTGTGTAGTGCTTTTGAATGCAGAGGGCAGGTTTTACTTCTTGGCGCGTCCGAAGTCCTGTCATGCTATATTGAAGACCCCCTATGTAATATAGCAGAGTAGTCATGAGGGGATGTCTGATGTTCGGAGATGACGAAGTGTCTGAGAACAGAATTATTAGTGTTTTTCTTCCCTCCTCTATCTAGCCAGCCTGGAGAGTGCTTTAGGGTACGTTTGCAAAGTTGACGTTTTAAACTTATGAATCTGAAAATCCCCACTCTTACAATGTCAAATAAGGTGGACAGTAGAGGAAAAGAATTAAATTTCTAAAGAAATGTAATTTTTAATTTGGCCTATTTATGTTTTCTTTTATTTCTATGCAATACCACAGAAACTGGATAAAACAGTTCAATTATCACATGAAGTTGAAATAAAAAATAAAGAAGCTGAATCCCTATTACAAACAGAAGATAAATTTCTAAATTTTATTACAAATCTAAGTGATATTGTAAGTTTTTCATATTATTCTCGTGGTTCATCCCTTAAATTACACTTTACAATTAATTCAATGATTGATTGTCCCCTACATTATAAAATTATTTCACCTGCATTTACTACTCATAATGTAACGGGAAAAGGAGTGAAATTTAAGTAAGTAACAAGCAGCCTCTGAATCACTAAATAGCCTAGAAACTTACCGCCTGGGTTACAGGAATTAGTTATGTGATGCTTAGGTATCGTGTGATTGAACGGCACGTAACTCTCCGTTTATCACAATACTAACTGCCGTATTACATTTTCTCCAGCCAATCTTAGTGATGCTGAATTCGAAGAGAAGGAGGATTTTGTTGACCACTGGCGAGAGTACCTGTCATAACGTTGAATTTGCAGACTACTTTTTATGTAATGAGTGAAAACTGAAGATGACATGAAAATTGGAGTCCTAGAAGTGTTTGAATCATTTAGGTTTAACTTACCAGGCGTAGATGTTTCTCTTTTAAATCGAAATTGTTTAAGACAACCAAAGTTTTTAAATTGAACATGTTTCTGCTGGATTTGAGAAATAAACAATGTAATATTCTTCAAAGATGGCTGACTTCACGATCACGTACAAAAAGAAAGATATGCTTAAAATTGATTAAGAATGCCCATTAAAATTTTCAAAGGAATGGATACTAGACAAATAGTACTCTTTTCGATAACTTCATCAACAAGGTCCACAGTTATATATACATTATAGTGAATGAATGAATTAGTGTTATGAAGGACATTAATGTTTAAATAATATAGAATCAATAATAATATCAATGGATTACAGTTCAATAGTATCAATACAACAATAAAATGAATGTAAGAAAAATTAGGAAAGATAATATTACAAATTCATGCGTGAATTTATAGTCTCTACGGAAGGCCATGGCAGTAATAGGGGCTGAACTTGCTTCTTTTAAACACAGAGCAATGGTTGTTTGAGGCGAAATGCAATAGCCTCTGCTGTTTGGAGCATCCCGTGCTTCGATGATTTTGGCAATTTATTAGGCACTCGGTAGATGATAGATAAGGATCCTTCAATTCTGGGTGGCTTTGTGGTCGGTTTGCACCAGATGGTTCAATATCGAACTGCTGGTAGTGGTCTTAACTACACCTTTACTTAGCCGTGCTTAGAGGTGTTCTCGAGCACGAAAAATCAAGTTTCTAGGGCAGCGGTCAACAGAACTCGCTCCACAAGCGCAGTCCGTAGTTAAAACCATTAACAACAGTTCGATATTGAACCATCTGGTGCAAACCGACCACAAAGCCACCCAGAAATGAAGAATCCTTATCTATCATCTACCGAGTGCCTAATAAATTGCCAAAATCATCGAAGCACGGGATGCTCCAAACAGCAGAGGCTATTGCATTTCGCCTCAAACAACCATTGCTCTGTGTTTAAAAGAAGCAAGTTCAGCCCCTATTACTGCCATGGCCTTCCGTAGAGACTATAAATTCACGCATGAATTTGTAATATTATCTTTCTTAATTTTTCTTACATTCATTTTATTGTTGTATTGATACTATTGAACTGTAATCCATTGATATTATTATTGATTCTATATTATTTAAACATTAATGTCCTTCATAACACTAATTCATTCATTCACTATAATTATATGTGCTTAAAAGTTGTTTGTCAGGGATTTGATACATTTCAAGCTGGATCACGTCATGACATGGGTTAAAGAACAACTGGAAACTATGTTTAATTGGAACCCCTACAGGGATCAAATCCAGGCGTTTCAAGCTACAAGACGAGTCCATAGACCATTCACCTGCTTAGACGGAGTCCATTAGCTCATCATTTCTAACTTCCATCATTTTGCGATGCATAGCTCGACCTCCAGACAGTGCCAGCAGCGAACATTTGTCCTGGAAAACAACTTTGTTGATTACAAAGGTGAAAGTATTGCAGCGATTATCAACAGAAGGCTGAGTACATCACTAGCCATAGCGTATCCTGCAGCTAAGCTCGTTCCCGTCTATCGAACAACTTACTCTTTGGTGCAATCGAAAATCGATAGATATCCTTCTCATGTTACCTCCAACTGTGTATACAAATTTACATGTATCTGCGGGAGCAGTTACATTGGAAGGACAGAAAGAAGGGCATATCTACGATTTTCTGAACATGTACCAAAAAGCTTACGTCTAAAGGGAACAAATGCTTTAAATAGTGCCATCACCAGGCATCTTCTCGACACGGGTCATGAGGTGGACGTTGAAAAGTCGTTCAAAATTATCAATAAGCAAAATAGCTCAATTCTCCTTACGTTTGCTGAAGCCATTTCCATCAAGCGCATGAAACCTGATTTATGCGTCCAGAAAGAAGCGGTTATCAGCCTTTCTTTGCCCTGGTAACTGGATAATTTCACCTCTCTTTCCTCCGAATGTGAAATGCTAAAAGTTTCCATTGTGTTTGATTATTATTGTTCGGAATAGTGGTTAATATTGCATATTTATATATGTATATATTTTTAGTGTATGAGTATACTGATCGATTGATTTTTGTTTAAACTGAACTCTGTGCAAGTTTGTTAAAATTGTTGTTGTAGGTATATTTAATAATGTCTTTGCCATGTAAGCAGCTGACGAGAAGGCAACAAAATAAAAGATGGTACCATTTTATTCTGCTAAAACTGTAGTTCTTGCATTGTTCAAATTCATTAAGGGGAATAAATGTATGAAATTTGTTGACTCCGTTGGTCACGAATTCCCACTAGAACGAAACAGCTATCCAGCCCTCCTTATCTCTCAATGGTTCATTAACTAAAGTCAACTTATGATCAATCTGGAAAGATATGCGTAAAAAATTTTGTTTAACATTATTTTTAAACATATATTACATAATGGAAAGCATCCATTGTATAGTTTATTTTGACTGTTTGATTGATCATCACATTTAACACGAAAGATTAATATCAGCCAACGTTTACGCAAAATGTTCTGAGCAGAGCACTGTCTACATTTTAAAAGAATGTTTTATGGCGAAATACCAACTAAAATGATAAATTAGAACTTAGGGTTGACAAGACTTAAATTAAATCTAGAAATGTGCTAACTTCCTAACTTCTTACCAGTGTTGTTAAAAAAACAGCTGTTCAATAGTCTGTAGTTTTCAGTAGGTCTTTTTCTAACTAATATTGATCGATCCATACAAATAAAGTGACTACATGACGTTTGATTCAATATTTTCAGTAGTTAAAAAATGCTACTGAACTCCATTTCACTCAGAGACTACGAATATTGGCCATCATAATAATAATATTATTATTCCCCTGGGTTCCGAGTGGAACAAAAGGCAGCACATCACTATTTCATTATGTTCTCCACAATTCTTTTGAGCAACTCCATGATTCCCTGCAAGATTTCTCCTTCTTCTCACACGGTCTCCTCTTCTAAAACCAATGTGGAAATCTGCTGCAATCATCATAAAGAACAAGACTCGGATTTTCAACACTAATTTAAAATCGAATGGAACTTGAGTGAGGGACAATGAGTTGTGTGCCCGAAGACGACATAGAAGAGGTCGGGTATATAGGAGATAAGAGTTTATGGACAATCATGGAGTCAGCTAAGGAGGACTTTAGAGAACAGGATGAAATCGAGGTGTAATGCTGCAGCACTATATTTCACTCGGAACCTAAGACAATATTAATAGAATAATAATACACAGTATTTGTTCCATGTCACATCGGAAAATCGGACTTATGCTTTACCATCCCACTGGACAGCCCATTGGGTGATCACACGCAACGGTCTCCTCAGCGTATGTGTGACCCATCTCTATTTGCTTCTGCGTATTTGCTGAACAACAAGTACTTGATTAGTTTGTTGTCAGAGTCCTTCATAATTTTTTCACTCTGACCATCTAATCTTCAGGACTGAACGAAAGAGACAGCTGTTAATGGAAGTCTTCCGTAGCCTGTTTGAAACGCTTTTAGTGGTGCCTGAGACATAAAGATGTATTAACTCGGTATTAGTATTGGAAATTAGGATCTTGATGCTCATGTTGAGTGTACTAGATTGACACCACTGCCAGTTAAAGTTGTATGTAGGAACTATGCAAAGTTGTGTATAACTGATAAAACTTGAGGAAAAATAGTCTAATGTTCAAGTTTTGTTTTGTTATTGACATTTTTCCAGTAGTACACAACTGTATCCCAAAACGAATCATTATTTATTTAAAACAGAAGGCTACAAATCTCTTGTATGAATAAATCAGTGGTAATAAGGGTTAAATTGTTGGCAAAAAGCCAACACACTCTGATTCTGTACCGCTTCTATCACTAGTTGTGTAGCACTCTTTTCATAGATTTTTGTTAGGGATCTAAACGTGGTTCTGACACCCTGTTACACGTTTTTGTAAAGTTTTCAATGCTTGAAATCAATGGGCCTATTGACTAACACCAGTTAGGATTTCTTTTCCGACGGTATTGATCAGCGAGGTGCAGATACAGCTTTACGATTCCCATGTTTCTTTTGATATTTGACTCAGAGTCATTCATTTTGAGTATTACTAAACAGATTAGTGGGAAAGATACTATTAAAATCTAATAAATGCTATGAGCTATGTACGCTTAGCGTTAGGAGAATGATTAAAATTTTTACCTCTAATGTCAGGTGATTCAGTATCTCTACATGGTTCAGAGACGGCGCTACGTCAGGAAAAGCATCTCCAACAGGTTAGTTTGGATTTTTACTAACACCTGCACTCTTTGCATACTGGCAGGGGGAAAGAATAAGTCATAAAGAGCTCTGGTATCAAACTAATCAAGAACTTACTACCCAACAAATATGCAGGCGGAAATAGAAATGGACTCGACATACCCTATCGGAAATACTGTTACTATGTGACACTTATTTAAAATATTCGGCTAACACGTCAGTTTAAATACTTCCGCAATAAATAACCATTAAGAGGCTTTAACCAAGAAAGCTGGTATTCTGAGTGCATATTAAGTTATATCATACAATTAATTATTTGTATTTCTTATTTCTAATAGATGGAAGCAGAAATCAAACAATGTGAAGCGTGTAAAGTAAGAGGATTCAATACTAACGCCTATATTAAACAAGTTATTTTCCCTACATGTTTGACTGTTTCATTTAATGAATGCTTTGATCTAATAATTTGCGCGTTTCTCATTCATAAGTACAAGTCCGTTAGCTGAATGGTCAATGACCTCACTTGGTAACCTGAAGTTCTTGGGTCCAGTGCTCAGTAGGATCATGAGATTTCTTATTTACGAATTATGACTCTATCAGCTGCATTACTCTTTATTTTATTCTCTTTCAAGCAACTACGAATACTTTTAGACATCACCTTTAATTAGCAATAATAAAGTGAAAAAGAAGTTATTCAGACGATTTTTCATTTTGAAAGAAAACCGTCCAAAAACCTGTTAAGAAATAAATATTTTGTGTGAAAAGACTATGATTGTTAATATCAGTAAAAAGTTTGAGCATTGAGGATTAGATCAAATAAAGTATAATTATATTTCAATAGTTTACATACAATGATAAGTTTTGTTTTTGGTAATATTTCGTTATAAATAAAACAATTCCAACAGTGGTGTGAAAACGGGCAGTAATTTTGCTCGAAATATTACCAATAACAAAACTTATCATTGTGTGTAAACTATTAAAATATAATTATACTTTACTATGATCGTTCTCTCGAATTGCCATAGCTTGAGATATGCGTAAGTAAAGAATGAAACAAGTAGTTCAGAAAGGAGATTCTTTTCATTTTTTTTAGTTGTACAGTCGCATTTACGTACAATCTTTCCATGAAAAATGATAGTAACAAAAGTGATGAATTGTGATAATCATAGTTGTTAACATTAATCAGTACGTAAGAGGAGATTAACAAGGGTGTTAGGGTTACGTAATAAGACGAGTAATTCAATGGATGAAGTGTAATCGGGATGTATATAGAAACGAAGGAAGATGGGATAGTATGCAAGATTTCGAAAAAAATACAAGAGTAGAGTTCTTCAATCGTTCATTGGTCTTCAGAAGCCCTAAGGACAAGATTTCACGTCAAACCACTTCTATGTGTATATGTCAGTCCACTTGTTCCTGTGGAGACAGGTATATTGGTCGTTCGACTTGTATCCTGCCTAAAAGGAATTAAGAACACTATTCTGCATGGTTGCAGAAAGGCAGTAGCGGCCCCATAAGGTGTGCGATACTTGAAAACCACATCAACGCAGGTAATTCTGTCAGAATAAACTTCCCCTTCACAATAGTCTACAAAGTGAAGAACAATTTGTCAAAGGCAATACGCCTTAGTGTTCTTCGGGTTGCTGAATCTTTAGTGGTTCAGTCAGAGAGACCGGAGGAATGCATACAAAGGATAATTATTCAACTACTTGTATTACCATGGAGACAATCTCGTTGATATTTTAATAACTTGATTTTCGTTTGTTTTTCTAGCTCCTTATAACTCTTATATTTTTTTAGAACTCTTAAATAATTCCATATTTACCTTCGCTTCTATGTGCATCCTGATCACAACTCATTCATTAAATTAGTCATCTTATTTCGTAGCTCCTATACATTTATTCAAATCCGCTTATGCCTTGATTAATATTAACAATACTATGGTTATAACAACTCATCACTTTTGTGACTATCCACTTTTGTGAAAAATCGTAGATAAATGAGACTGTACAGCTAGAAAAAATGAATTCTCTTTAAAGAGCCTGTTCGCTGAATCACTTGTTTTATTCTTTCCATTAATGCCTAGATAGGGACTGTTCATGAAATATTAATTTGGTTATTGATTCTACTCAGTCAAAATAATCAGTCAACATTTGGCACATAGACTTAATAGTCTTAATTACATACCTGGGTGTTTGCCTCAATTCTATTTGCATGTAGTTTGTTGGGCAATAGTTGATAGGGGAATTCATATTTGAAAGGAAACTGATGTTTTCAATCCAGTAAAATCATTAATCGGAACTTAAACAAACTTTTATATACTCCTGTTTTTGCCTAATCTCAAAACCAGTTGAAAGAGGCATAGACTGGATAAAACCAGCCTGAAAAATTAAGATGTCAGGTCAAAGTTGAATATTCGTTGAAATATAATTGAACAACCCTGAATTTTGAACTTATGCCACCCACCTAATTAGTTATTTACCTACTTAACTTTTTCGAGATTGTTGACATTCGTATATCATGTACTTTGTGTGATAAAATTGAGATTGTTTTCACCAGTTCTGACCACTCTGTCTCCTGTCTTTATTTACCTTGGCTCCGGGGGCCAGGAATCTTGGGGAATAGGAATTGGTATTCAGTCTTCAGATGGGTTACTTACTGCCTCCCCTTTTCGAACCCATGTTGCAACATAATGATTAGTGCCAAGAAATGGGGACGCTATCGAACCGAAATATTAGTGTTCTTCCCCACATAACACATACGAACTAGTAATACAATGGCAGGCATTTACTTTATTACTTCACTAGCCTAGTAAATAACACTTTTGGGTTCGAGATGGTCAGTACTTGACTGGAGTCATCATGAAGCACTGTCACTAAATGATTTACCGGATTAAGTGCATATCCTATATCCTGTCGCTAAGCCCTACCAAGACAATAAAAAATAGTATGTTTAGCGTTTGTTTTTTCTGAGTTGATTTCTTCTTCACTATGTTAGTATTCAAATAAGCCATCAAGTACGACATGGTTTCAAAGGCTTTGGTAAAGCTAAGGTTATTTGTTGTACTGATTAATCATGGATATAAATCTCCTGCATGTTTATTGAGCCCGTGATTAGCTAAGGAAGCCAAAAGACTTAGCGTTGGCTGCGCCTTTGAAACCATTCCATAATGTACCATCAATAAGCTGATCTAATTCTAAATGGATATGGTAGTCTTCTCTCAGCCAGGTGTTTTAACTGCGGAGCTGTCTTTGTCTTTTCGGACGATATCTTCAGCACAGACTTCGGTATGAAGGGAGTTGACTGAATTTGTAAATCGATTGCATTAAATGTCTAAATTAATAAATATTTACCGTGTTCTTCTTCTCTTTGTTCTCTTTGTTATGTTCTGTGCTTTTTATTTTCTTTTTATTTAGAAAGACTTTGATCATTTTTTTGTATATAATGAAAAACTAAAAAGGACAGTTGATCAAGTGAAAAATCAAGCACAAGATGTCAATCATTTCCAGGTCAGAAAACAAAAGCAAAAATCGATTTTGTAATTAGTTTAATTTGTAGTAAAAACGTGTATACGTCTTATGAAATATGTTGCTTCATCATGATTCTGTCTTTCATGTTTATGCCTTAGATGAATGTATGACTTAGTATTTTATTTTTCAAGAATTATGCAATAGGATAAAATATTTGATGTTATTGACAGTGATGTAGTAATGAAGAAGGAAACTTTAAAACACCAACTAACGAATCAGTGATCAACTCGTGAAAACATGACTAACCTTTACAAACCAAACTATAGAAAAATAATCTGATGCTCGCTAATGACTTGCTGCAGGATGGAGTTTCCTGAGTTCTAGTGAGAAGTTGTGAGCAGTGAGGTTGAATTAGATGTCACGTGTGAGGATGGATGTCCCACCAACGACAGTGGTTGGGGTCGTGTTAAATCACGAATTGATAGAAGTTAGAATTCATGAGCCATTGAATCGGGTCCCATTGGCTGAATGGTATACGAGCTCGCCTTGTAACCGGAAGGCCCTTAGTTTGAACCCTGGCAGTGGGTGCGTACTGCCGATGATTCCGAAACTAGGATGAAACAGCAGCTGTTCAGTACTCCCTGGTTTTCAATGGTTTTCTAACTGATATCAATCCGTGATCAACTCGTAAAAACATAACTAACCTTTACAAACCAAACTATAGAAAAATAAAGATTACACAACATCAGTCAGAATCCGTGCAAACCCAAAGTATCTCACTGTCATTCTTTTGTTCATTAAAGGCTACAAGGTATATGTCCTTGGGTTCCAATGAGATGTAGTGACCAGTGGGGGCCATTATGTCTGGCGTGAATTGAATGCTCATCAAGGGACTTGGTTGACGAGATGTCAGAAGTTAAAATTTATGGAATTTTTAACACTAAGTCGATTACTGAATGATCAAAATTCTCGTCTGGTAAACTGAAGTCGTTGAACAGTCTCTAACTAGGATGAAACGACTGTTCAGTACGCCTTGATTTTCAGGAGTTCCCTTTATAAGGTCCGTTGGTGAAGCAATAAGGAAAATTTGATGTCCTCTGCCTAACAAACAAAGTGTCGTATGCTTCTGTAATTTTTGTGTTAGGTGCCTTTATTTTTTACCATAACCTCGTTGTAAATTTAAATGGCTTTTTCTCTCCTTTTCGACGCCATTACTTGCCTTTTTGTTTTTCTCTACGTTTTCTCACGTTTGGACTATCATTCCTTGTTAAATCTTGGAAAATACCAGTGAATTTAGTATTCATCGACGTCATTTAATATGTATCCATTCAGCACTGTCGCTAATAAGACAGTAAAAGCTATCTGTCGACAGTCGTTCTTATATGATGTTCGCATGCTAGTGGTATTATTGTTGTAATGGTCGGCGCATTAGGCCTGTATCACTTTAAGTATATTAGATCAAGTTTATTGGTAACAACATTGTATTTAGTGTTTTTAAGTCGTCTTGTGTCTTATTTTATTTTTACTAAACATATTAGGGTATAATTCATAAAAAATTGCAGGCATTTTTGAACTGCCGTGCAGCACAACACCGGAGAACTGGTGGAGTGACAAAAGTAGATAAGAAAATTTACGAAAGCGATGGAAGACGAAAACGAATAGAACTAGTGGAAAAACCCAAGGGCAATCAGCTTTTTCGTAGATAGCAATCAGTGTAACAAAATTGTATATTAATTTGTTCATTGGATATATCATACAGTGAAACAGTATTATTTACTAGATTACATTTCTAACACCGACATCCCGTTTGTGCAAGGTGTGCTTGTCGGTGGGTGGGAAAACTTAGCACCACCTGAACATGGTCCACATATGTGGATGAAACACTTGCGGTGTTAAAACCTAGGGATATAAATAGATTTTTTCGAGTACATCCACTCAATAGTCGATGCAATTCAATTTATTTATGATTTGTAAAGTTAAAACGACAGACAAGATGGGAAGTCAAACATAAGTGTTTACAGAAAACTCACACTTCCAAACTGATAGTTAAATTTCAATTCTTACCACCTCATGTCAATGAAAATAGGATTACACGTAGAACAGATAATTAGTACTGAAAAATTATCTATAGTAAAATGTTAGACTTACGAAATAGGCTTTGACGTCTAATAATTACCCTAATCAATTAATCAAGATGAATGTAGAAAGTCTTAAAAATAGTGACAACAATAAGGGTAGCATGAATGACATATATCAATATAAAGACGACATGCCAAGAATAAGGAAAATCAGTAGTGCTGGTATACAAACAGAACATCTCTGGAATCTGACGTAGGATTCTTAACAATGCAGGAATAAAAGTGGTATTCAAACCCACAAGCCTGCTAAAAACCAAATTATGCCGGTTAAAGGATCCTATGTAGCTCACTAAACAAAACAGTTTAGTTTATCTAATATAGTATACCCGCCAAGTTTCTGATCCGTATAGAAGAACTGACTGACTTGATATTTGTATTCAAGATCCGGCCGAATTTTGTTGTTGATGCTGAGTTGAGTGACGAAGATTTCCAGATTGATTTCAGGTTGATGAGTGTGTTTCTCACCTTCCCGATTCTCGCTCTATTTGACATCCTCGTCCGTTCTGATTGCCTGCAGTTGAGACAATGCTCCCTAGATAAGTGAATGAAGTAACCTCTTTCAAATCCCTCGCGTTGATGGCGATTGGCGGTGGATGTTGCTGCTGTTGTTGTTCGTTGGTTATTTTGATAACCTGGCAAGACGGAGGTTATGAAAATAACCAACGAACAACAACAGCAGCAACATCCACCGCCAATCACCATCAACGGGAGGGATTTGAGAGAGGTTACTTCATTCACTTATCTAGGGAGCATTGTCTCAACTGCAGGCAATCAGAACGGACGAGGATGTCAAATAGAGCGAGAATCGGGAAGGTGAGAAACACACTCATCAACCTGAAATCAATCTGGAAATCCTCGTCACTCAGCATCAACAGCAAAATTCGGTCGGATCTTGAATACAAACATCAAGTCAGTCAGTTCTTCTATACGGATCAGAAACTTGGCGGGCGGGTCACAAAGAATATTTCCAACAGCCTGTTGCAGACCTTCATCAATAACTGTCTTCGCTCTCTTATACTGAAGATCAGATGGCCGGTCCGGAAAGAATCACCAACAATAAACTATGGGAACACACAAACAAAACAAGAACCGATCACCAACCAACAAATATGCAGGAGAAAGTGGAGATCGATTGGACACTCGCTCCCTGAGGAGGCCGCTGGGTGACATCGCGCGCACGTCAGGCCATTGCTCTAGTGGAACCAGGCCGAATGGGAAGCGGCGAGTGGGTCGTCAGTTCAAGGGTGACATGGAGGAGATTGTGTGAAGAGGAGTTGAAACAGTGTGGACTAACCTGGATGGAGGTGAAAAGTACAGCAGAAGGAAGACAGAAGTGGCAAGTGGAGACGTTCGGCTGAAGCCCTATGTTCCACTAGGAACCCAAATGAACAGTAATAATAAATAAAACTGTGAGGTCAGATTCATTAATCACAGTAGTAAGCCAGTGTCACTTGAAATTGTGATTAGTTGACCCTACTAAAATAAGGAATTGTGAAAAAAAGCTCAGCTGTAATATAAGCAGAAGCATTGAAAATGAACTCAGAGACATCATCGAACTTGATGACACTACTACTAAAGAAGGTTGAGAAAGAGGACAAGGTACCCGCGGACTGGAAGAAAGGCTACTTATTCAAACTGCCAAAGAAAGGGGACTTATGTCACTGCAAGAAGTGGCGCGGCTTTATGCTCCTGTCTACCACAAGCAAAATACTAAGCCGAATCATTCTGAAGAGAATCAAACACACCCTGGATGAAAACTTTTGACCGGAACTGGCTGGATTCAGGAGGAACAAGTCATGAGTCGATCAAATCGTAACACTTGGGATCATCATTGAACAGAGGTTGGAATGGCAGTCATCTCTCTATCTCAACTTCATTGACTTTGATAAGGCCTTCGACAGCGTCGACCGAGGGGTGATTTGGCAACTACTTCGCTACTATGGGGTGCCATCGACAATTATACATCTCATCCAACAGTTGTACGACAATGCTGCATGCCAAGTAATCCACAACGGGAAACTCACGGAATCCTTCGAAGTGAAGAAAGGAGTAAGACAAGCTGGTTGCCTACTATCTCCAGTCATTTTCCTGAGTGCGGTAGACTGCATAATGCGAAAGACAGTTAGCGAGTAACGAGGAAACAGGCATAAAATGAACCCTCACAAAAACTTGGAGGATTTAGATTTCTCCGATAATAAATGCCTGATTTCCCACAAACTGGAAGATATCCAAGTGAAAAGCAACAAGTTGACAGAAGAAGCATCCAGAGAAGGTAGGACTTCCTTCAGGTGCACACACAGAAAACAGAGGTGATGAAGATTCCTGGCCAACACCAACAGCAACAACAACAACAGACAACAGTCAGTCAGCATAAATGGGAGAAACCTGAAAGAAGCAACCTCCTTTACCTACTTACCTGGTAAACATCATTTCAACTACTGGAGGACGGAACTGATGAGAATATCAAAGCGAGGATTGGGAAAGCAAGGCAAACTTTCATTAATATCAAGTCTGTGTGGAGGTCAACAGCACTCCTCAGCATGAGAAATAAGATCCGGATTTTCAACTGCAATGTGAAGTCAGTGCTACTTAATATGCGGACCAAGGACTTGGTGCGTCATGAAGAGCACCTCAGACAAACAGCTGTCTTTGCTCAGTACTGAAGATCAGATGACTGGCAGCAACAGGGATTTCTGGGAGCGAACCAACCCAGCAAGAACCAATTGTGCGACAAATAGCAGTAAGAAATGGAGGTGGATTGACCATACTCTGGGAAAACAAACCAGCGAGGCCATGGCTCGAGTGGAACCCGAATGGGAAGCGGCGAGGTGACTTGGAGGGGGACATGCGAGGAGGAAATGAAAGCATGTGAGCAGACGCGGAGCCAAGTGAAAACGTTGGTGGAGAACCGAATGAAATAGAGATGTGTGGCTGAAGTCCTATGTTCCTCTAGGAATTAAAGGAAACTACATATATAGCAAAATATGTACTGTAAAATGTGACATTTATGCTCTGAAAATTTATCGCTTTAGTTTCATTCGAAAAGAATGATGAAGTACCTGAAGAAAGTGTAGAAACTAATACAGTGAGCTTCTATAATAGTCGGTGTTATTCAGTTTCATGTCATCATAATGAAATGGGAGATTAAACTAGTCAAAAAGTAAATGAACATTTATTAAAGTTTCTCAGGAAAAAACAACATCATGCAAATCTAATTCACAATTTCCGAGTTACACAGTTTAAAGTGAAATTTCGTTGCAGTTTCCTAAGTAAACCGAAATTATTCACATTATGATACCACCCACATATGGCAATCAAGAGAACAAGCATAAATGCATCAAGCCACATACTACTGATTAGTTTAAATGAGTAGGTGGATAATATTCAAATAAACCAGTAGTATAACTATTCAGATCAAAGTGATCTCAACACTGGACTGCCGTTTCGCCTGTCTGAGACTGGGTGTGTCGGCAATGTACCTGGTTTGACCCAGCTCACGGAGCCGAATAAGTTCATACCACTGGAATCCTGACTACCTACAACTACCCATACTAATCACCCAGTGGTATATAACATCATACAAAGTAAATAATATAAGGTAAATAGTTAATCGGATGGAGGATTTCATCACGAGCTGACATCCAATCAACCAAAAATCTCTACAAAAAACAATACTTGAAAATTGATCCGATTCTCACAGCTCTGGTAGTTACCTGAGATTCCAGTGGGAAGCCGTGACCAGTAGGGCACAGCAGACCGAAGGTGAGGCAGTAGCTCATCGAAGAAGGCATTACGAAAAGGGTTGCACTATGTCATGAATCGGCAGAAGTAGGAATTCATGGTATAGCCATTGGATAGGGCCTCACTGGCCTAATTTTCTATGAGCTCGCTGACCTTGTAGCCATAAGGTTCTGGGTTCGAACCCCTATGGTGACTGCTTTCTGATGAAGAGTCCCAAACTAGGACAACAGAAATCATTGCCCAATACTCCCAGCTGGTTTTCCAATGAATCTCTAACTGATGTCAGCTCATGATGAAATCCTCCAATCAATCAAACAAAATCCCTACAAAAACCAATACCTGTAGATAGTTAATTCTTAATTCCTAAAGTAATGTTTAAAATTTATAGAGGAATAAAAGTAAGTGGATGGATTTTGTATCATTTCAGCGATAAGTATTGGGTGTACGTTTTGAATTTACTGGTAAAGTATACTATACTAAGGGTGTCTATCGCATTTCACTCCTTTAACCTAGACATAATGAAGTATTTATTTCCAAATCAAAAGTTGTACTATCTTGACTTGTTGGGCGGTGGCTAGATATGCCGGAAAATATTTTCACAATCTCTAGGTAACACTACCTGAATAGCAGTATAGCGGGTATTTTGTTTAGAGTGAGATACTAATTTAGACCATAAAAATCTTAGTATCAAAAAAATAAAAGAAAGGAAGCAGTTCATTCAGAATAACAACGCTTTAGTTGGACTACATGATTAAAATCAAATGAAGGATAGTCATTGATGTTTACTTCTTAATATTATCATCTATAGATGAATAAAGTCACAGTTCTGAATTCGTACGTAGTGTGTCAGTGGTATAACAGTAGAATTTTCGCCAACAACACAGGTGGTTTGAGGTTTGATCCATGGCCGATGCACTTTTTTACCCCGCTAAGCCAGTAAAGAGGGAACGTGAAAGAGTAAAATTAATTTTAAAAAATTAGTTAAAATTTTGAATTCATATACTTTAACATTTTAATGTGAGAGAATATATATCTTATTAGTTCTCACAAAGTATATACCTACTGCACTTCAAAATAACTCTCATCATTGTTGGTAATGCATTTACTATTTTAGCGCCTTAGAGATTCAATTCAAATCCTAAAGGATTACAGTCAATTACTTCAAGTAAGTTTCAAAGTCGTCATTTTATCTCACTTTCACTTAAGTATTCTGTTTAAAATGCATCGATAGGATGAAATAATTACCATGACCTTTCTTCCCGAAAAAATCCCATCAAATATCATTTTTTCTCAATTTCTATCGACTTATATCATATATTTAGTGTGATAATAAATATTCCCAATTCTTTCTTCTCCAAGCAGGTCCACCTTTCACTTCAACGCACCCCGGTACCAGTCTGCCAAACTCACATAATCTGAGATAGTCCAACGCATATCATTTCATTGGGCGGTTTCTCTATATACTTTAGTATAAATATAACCGGATTTACAACTTAGACTGGAATAATAAGCTTGAAGATGATAAATAAACAGTTAGACATTATTGTTAAGTAGTTGGATGCAGTCAGCAGCAGACTTTGGCCCCATGTTTTGTGCATATCGGCCCTCGTAAGCAAAAAGTATCTACAACCCTGAAGGAGCTCATATCCCTCCTGTGATTTGAACCTATGTCACCCATTGCTCTCGTAAGGGGCGTTACCACTGAAATATTCGGGCCCACGATTGATCTTCTGTAAGACTGTGTTCGATATTTCGCACTGATTGCTTTCAACCGTCTAATAACAACAATTCAGAGTTCACGGTGATGGCAAGCCACTTAGCATTGTGGCCACACTTCAAACTTGACTGATAGAATTGACTATTCTACAACCAATGGACTAGACTCATGGTTTTAGTTATTGCATATGATATAATCAAAGGTAATTACATATCCCTACGTTTTTATGATAGGAAAAATTTTCAGTGACGAAGGCTAAATAATTTATTTCTCAGTTACTCTTAGATAAGCCAACAGTCTAAGTCAGCAATATTCATTAGGTTGTCTAGTTCAAACTTGAGTACGACTCAGGCTTCTGTTTCAACTCCTGTATTCTTTTGCTAACTGTTTTAAGTTGTGGGATAATAAGACTTTATCTTAAATAGTTTAACTGTTGCTAAACAATTAAGAGGCGACGACATTCTCCTTTAAGTGGCACCAATTCATAGTTTATCTTCATCATAAATTGCCAGATTCTACGAGATCTCAATAACTGAATTCGGTTTCAGTGGCTGAGATATAATACTTTTCGCTTGATTCCAAGTGAACCGACTAGGCTGTTTAAACCAAAAATAGTAATTTTTCAGTATTCCGTTATTTTTCCACACAGTTTCAGTCTATTATAGTAACCTCACTGAGATTAGTTGGTTGACTATATGACAATATTTTATTTGGTAAGAATTTTATGAATATACCATTTCAAATTGGAAATATGTTGAGGGCGAAGAGCAGGAAGACTTGAACGTAGATTTGCTGTCTTCTGGCTCCAAGTTCAAGTGACTCAGTGATAACGTGTCTGCCTACAACACTGGGTGACGCATGTTCGTGGGTCTGAGAAGATATCAGTCCCTTCGAGGTTCCAGGTATAACTTACTGACAAGCGCTAATAGTCACGAAATCTAGATTCAGTCTTCTATTGTTTTGATGTGGTTATGTTCTCTGAGATGGATAGTGAATTTGCGAAGCTTTTATCACCATACTAGGTGACATCTTTAGCGCATACATCAATTCGCTGAAGTGAGCTTTTAGATTTCTCCAAGAGTTTATTAATCATCTCTCCTGGTGACTTTGGACGTGATTGGTTGTTTTTGTGTGTTTTCACACCTTCTAGGTTACTTGTATTTGAATTGATTGTTTCTTTAACTTGAACTTTGCCCCTTTGTATACGAGGTTTCTTTCTTATCGGTTGATAAATTTTGTCTATCTCGATGTTTCTATTGATTGATGATTCACTGGAATACCAGGCTGGCTTCTAAAAATTCTCTGGTATTCTTGTTGTTTCCTCTGTCTAATATTTGAACGTTGTTCCAGTCGAATTGATGTCCATGGTTGTCTGTATGTAGTGATATGAGGGAGTGGATATCATGTCTTTTGACGGCTAGCTTATGTTCGTGGATACGAAGACGAAGGAGACGTCCAAATTGAAGTATGCGCCGAAGACATCACCCAGTAGGGTGATAAAAGGTTCGCAAATTAACTATCCAACTCAGAGAACACAACCACATCAAAATCATCCACCTGAGCTACAAATCTTCTCTATCATATCTTCTGTTGTTTGTCTGAACCACCCAATGTTTATTCAAAGTGAACGGTAAAGTGGACAGATAGCGCCTAGAAAAACAACATTAGCTACTATGTATTGAGTAGTCATACTACAGATGGAGAATATAGTGCATATGAAATTATTTTCAGAAATCTTTAACTATACAGAATCTAATATAAAGTGAACGCATTCATGATAAATTGACTCTGTGCAATCACAGATATTGATTTAAAATCAAATGAATTATATCATATATGAATTACTACTCTAATAATTTTTAGTAGTTTAGTTCTATTATGACTTTGGCTTATTTATTAGTACAACTAGCTTCTGAAGTAAGTGAAAGTTTATTTACTTGAAAAAATCATCACCTTAGTGATAAATTAAGAAGCAGAATAAGCATAATCTTGTTCCGCTACTACAAATAAATAAATTCCCACTCCGAAAGAAAACAGACAGTTTTAATAAATTGATTGACTGCTTGTAAGAGAATAAGTATGCAGTAAGTAGAACGAGAAAATAATGATGGACAGACTGAAAACAACTTTCACTTTGTCGATACTAACCAATAAGGGAAAATGTAACTAATCAATATTAATTCCTAATAGAAACTCTATTTGAGTAGGAAAAACATAAAAATCAGACAAAAAATTAAATATTTTGATAATAATAATAGTGCTAGAAATATTATTGTCTACAAATAAAAATATTGTGGTGAGGGTGATACGAATACTTAGTACAAGCAAATTACCATCGACGTTAATAAAATGATAAACCATGCTTGATCCCACTGATTCTATATAATATCATGGATTCTGTATTATGAATGCTTCGTCTTTTATTATCCTTCATTTGTCGAGTTCTGCTATAAATTTTAACCTTCTCATGTTTCTTTAACAGTGGCTTTTCATTCTGCTTAGAAATAGTTTTTTCCTAAAACGTTACACTATTTGCTACTTATGTCTGTTTATCAGTAGCGGACAGCAGTTAGCAAAAGATGAAGGAATGATTAGTTTTGAAATAACCAATTTGTACACAAATATTCCCATTAATACAGCTCTGGAGGCTGTTAGGTATGAAATGACACTCTGATCCTCCACTAAAAAGTAGGACTAAGCTCTCGGTTGATGAAACAATATTAGGTGTTCAGTTATGTCGATAATCTGCTCGCAGATATAGTCGGTGGTTTCCACCAGAGACACATTAGTAAATAAAAATGAAACATCAAGTGATGCTATATATTTGCCAGTTGCGTTCGAGTTTTTAATTTTATCAATAAATTGTAAGGTTAGCTTGACGCTATACTTCACTAACAGTCATGAAATGGTTGAAGTAGCTGTACCAGCCATTTTCCTGAAACTACAGTAATACGATAGACTAAACCAGAACTTTGTATCCAAAAGAACGCATTCAGACGCCGTTCCTACTGTGGTCAAACCTAGATTAAAGTCTCTTCTAACCAAGAGTGCCTCTTCCCCTTATCTCTCTTGGTTTTCTCTTTTTTTGCTTATTATTACAAATATTATTATTATTCATTATAATTTATACCCTTCATCCAAATATTCTTTCAGTACTATGGAATTTTCCATTTGTACTATCCAGACTTATTATTAGTGATATCATCTTTTTTCTTAATGTATGCCTAGACTTGCTTCCTTTCATATGGATCTTTTCATAATGAACTGCGCGTTGAAGTCTTATTATATATATATATATATGTATATGCTTCCCTCTCTCCTTCCTCCCTCTGTTGTTTGTTGGCACTTCTCATATCTCCGGTGTAGGCGTTGCGTTATTCCAATCGGATGTGTGCGATGTTGAATCGATAAACAAAGCTTCAGTGATTAACTTCTATATCTCTCCACCTAACTTTGTCGCTTTTTACTACTCTCACCCTGTCCCACCCTATTTTGTGATTACATGCAAGTGAATGTAATGCAAGGCTCAGCTTTTCCTCGGTTATTTAGCTAATCATGGTTAATTATTCAAGGTCTAGCTAAATTTTTATGTTCCAATAATCTATCTGACCCCAATCTACGAGTATGACTTATGGACCTCACAGTCATTATATGATGTTTAGTAAATTACATTGTTTTTCTTAGTTGGATCTATCGGATCCTCAAATGCTGACAACGTTCGTCTCTGAGAGAGTCGGTTGATTTAAATGCCACCTTGATTCCAGCCTCTGATGTTTCTTTTTTTTATGTGGCGATACTATAGAGGCTTTGAATTCCGTATTGTTGGTGTTGTTTTCAGAATTTTCATTACTACTCCTATTTTTTTCTATGGGTTTTCATATATTACTCTGTAAATCCTGATAGGTGGTTATTTGCTTGTAATGTTTTCTTTATTTGTTTGATTTTATCTCATTTAAATCTCCTGACTTATTAGTTAGGTTCCTGGCCCGATTATATAGAAATCTAAAAAAATAGTATCTTAACCGATTTTGGATGGGATGAATCAAAGTCTAAGTATTTATTGGAGTGTGTTGGTTTCCTATAAATGCTAGTATCTAACCTACCATCATGTTTTCGTTTTATTTTACACTTCAGCAGGACCGACTGACCTTGTTCATTTTCTAACTAAGAAGTGAGTAGGATTCCATCTACTACTGATTTTGTATGTGTGAATAGCTAAGAGATATGTTCACAGTGAATGTATCATCTACATATCTCCACCTTAAACTAGGAATGGGATTGAACGCTCTAAAAGCTTTATGTTCCCAACTGTCCATAAATACGTCTGCTACTATTGTGGATATTGGTGATCCCGTTGGCATCCCATTTTTTTGTTTATATAAGTTATTTTGAAACTGGTCGTGAGGCTATCTAAGATAGCCTTGAGTTGGCTGATTAATGTGAATGTG